TAATATCGTTTTTACTAGAAGAGTTATTGCAATGTTTTATATACAAAGAATAATATTACATAGCAGTATATCGATCGGGTGAAATTGATTGTTGGAAATGGGGACTAGCAGTCCCACTGCTAGCAATATGTCTTCTTAGGTCGACCTCTTCCGGATCTACATTTGAGACTATCTGATAGGCCAGCTGACCCGTCGACATCCTCATCTGTAATCACTCACTGGAACCCAGTGCCTGCGTATATATTCATATATATTAATATATATATATATATATATTTTCATAAACAGTTCGTCTATGGTTCTATAAGTAGTTATGCTATTTTTATACTAAATTATTCTATCTTCTAATTGTTTAGTCAACGATGCTTGGTTAGTTACTTATGTATAAAATCTAACGTTACTTTTTTGATCTGATACGATGAGAAAGTTGTTTTATTCGTATTTTTACTAAAAGTTTAAAAAAAACTTTAATAATTCTATTATTTTAGCATAAGAGAGAAAAAGAAAATAAAATATATTGCTATACTGAAGTGGCAATGGGTGAGCCATATAGTTCTAGAAAATTGACAATTGACGAAGATAGGTTCTTCAAGGCTTCATCTCTCTATCGGACTTCAGATGTGTCGTAGTAATCCAATAGATTCAGATATGTCTCAGAATTGTTTCTTATAGCAACTACTATTGAAGTTTGTATTGATTATTAATGCCTGAAGTGTAATAATAGTAATTATTGTTCCTGCAATTATTTCATACAGGTCGTGTTAACATGGAAAACTTTTTTATAACGTAAACCAGCATCAAAAACCTGCAGAAAAACTGACCGTACAATTCGCGCTTAGCCACTTTTTATATCATAACGCTGGCTATAACGACCTTCCACGTCCCTTCGTTAACATCCCAAAGGAATAATTGGAGCGGCATTTCACCCGTGGAAAACTCACCCTATAGGACGAGTCTTTTCCTATAATATATTGGAAGAAATTTTGTTTACACATAAAATAATATTGGGTAAAAAATATTTGATTCTCTAAAGACTAGGTACTTCAAATATTTCACTATGAGTAAGCGCGTACTTTTCAAGTAAACCAAAGAGAGAACAAGAGAGAGAGAGAGAGAGAGAGAGAGAGGCTGTGCTGATGTCAGTACCATAATTTATTTATGAAGTAACCTCACGTGAACTGAAAAACTCTTCTGAACTGGAAAAATTTTGGATGTATGATTATCATGAATGACAACTGTATAAATGCGAGTATAAACCTAAGTATTTTAACGAACATATGAGTATGATGATCAAAGTTTTGACTGAGTTTAATGTGAATTTCCTCCTATTCTTTTATATTGATTATTTACAATAGGTTAGAAATTAGTTTTCATATGGAAAAAAAAGGGATGGAAGACTAATGCAATCTAGGAGACGTAATACATTCCGTAAATTAGAAATCCTATGATTTAGAGAGTGGTAGTTGAAAAATAATGTTTAATGTTTTTTTTTGTTTATTATTGTTAAGGAAGCAAACGAACACACGGCCCATCTGATGAAAAGCAGCTACTGTCACCTATGAACACCTGTAACACGAGAGGAGTTGTTTGAGCGTTGTCTGTCTTTTAGATGTTTGTAGGCACGTTTTTTAGAATTCCCTATTTTTTTCAATGGAACACTCTTCATTGTATAGCCGATAGAAAATTGATAAAAAGGCAACATTCCGCCTCAAATCCAAAACGCCCGTTAACATGGGATCGTCGACAACTCGTACCGTTCAACGCTGTATAGAGTCAAGTGGAAAAAGCTGATATTGGGATACTCCTGCCCAAAGATGTGAGCAGTTTTCTAAATGTATCTTATTAATCTATATCAAACTTTATAAAACATCTGTAGGTCGTACGAGTAGTTGCGATTAATGCTACAACATTTTTGTTTCAATCGTAGACATAGTAAATTTTCAGTAGCGATTTATCTTTTTGGGATGAGTTTTATTCAGATGAAATGCCAACTGAGGGGAAAATACGTTGAGCACTGTTAAATATTTATTATTGAATTATGGAGATACGTTTAGTATTATGAAGGTAGGTTTGTAGGTACTAATCTATTCAAAACTCGGGCGAGCGGCTCCGTCAACCGTCTGTGAAATATTGATACGCTTGAAATAAGTTTCAAACTGTATTATAATGTTGTAGGGCTCTGTAATTACTGCGTTTTGTTCTCATAGTATAATTAAGTAAAATATAAACTTACATAATTTTCAAGTTTTTTTTTTATACAACTTAGAATGGCAAACAAGCTGGCGGCCCACCTGATAGACAGTGGTAATCGTCGCCTATAAACATGAGCAGTACCATGGACATAACAGAGTATACCTACTGTTTCGCCCATGATACCCCCCATACGTTGCCATTCCTGAGGAATAACATCTGAGTGATGTTATTCCTCTGTACCCTGTAAATTCACGCCATATCCCACCCTTCAAACCGAACTGCACAGCCATGCAAACACAACCATTTCACGGTAGAAACACGAATGGGACAGAGGTACCCAAGCAATCGACTTTTGTGCAGTCTCCCTCTGGTGAGTCAAGTACATAAATTAAGGTTTTTGTATTGGAAGAAATATTAAATATTCAACTTACTATTAGTGTATGAGTAAATGAAAAACAAATTAAATTTATACTAATAATTTATTAAATTAATTAATTTTTTAGATGAGATTAATGTACACAATTGTCTGCTGTACTGAAATTGTTTAATAACATTTTTAAGTATTTACCAAAGTCGTTTGAAGAAAGGTCAGCAATTTGTGTGGGTCTTCTCCTCATTAAATCTCATAAATTCCTGCGTTGGGGAAAAGCGGGTGGGCACGCCCGATGCGGGAATCCGATAATTTTCCGCATAATCATGAAATGAATTGAATACCTAAAAGTGCACCACTGGAATTTGATATTTCATTTTTGTATTTCTTTGAATGTATATAGTATTCGTCGTCTATAGACATAAATAGATATATGTTTGCATGGCTGTGTTTCGGTTTAAAGGGTGGGGTATGGCAGTAAATTTTCAGGAAGACAGTACAGAGAAATAACAATGACAACGCATGGGAAGTATCACGGGCGAAACAGTATACTTTGTTATGTCCATGGTATTGCTTTTGTCTATATGAGACGGTTACCACTTTCGGTCAGGTGGGACGTCAGCTTGTTTGCCATTCTAAGTTGCATAAAAATAAATTACAATAGTATTTTCACTACCATATTTTACCGAAATATTTTTTTTTTAAAACGGAATATCATGAAAGCACAGAAGGTTGGCAGCAGAAAAATATTTTGTTTGCCATACATGAACACTACAATGATACTTGTATAAATAAATATGCAAGTACATTTAGTCCTAAACTAGATCAGAAAATTTCTTTATCTGCTATAAATCCAAGAAGGTATTTAATTTAATGATGATTATCGGATCCGTCGGATTTTAAGGCGTGTGGTCCCGACATAGAATGAGCTATCTCTTCTTTTCTCGTGGATGGCATAAGAGACGTCTAAGGAAACTTAGTCGAGGGATAGACTGCAGCGTCCCTGTTAAAACATCACCAAAAGCAAAACAGCGGTTGCCTACCCGTCTGCCAAGCATGGCAACTACTGGCAAAATCTTCCCAATGACAAACTGGCATAAGATACGACCTCGTTCCTTATAAGTCTATGGGGGAGACCTATGTTCAACAGTGGACAGTTAACGGCTGATATGATGATGATGATGAATGATTGGGTCAGAACATTTACGCTACCTTATATTACTCTTATATCTTGTAGATTCTATCTATCAGTTTTAATAGTGTTCCATGTTTTTTTTAATAGGTGAAAATGAAATGGTTACTCCACCCGCGTTATTGGTATACACCGGTGGGGCACCAGTGGAAGATGATAGGTGAGAATGAATGCAGATCAGTTAATCCACCATGATGAATTCGACAAGAATTAACCATGATGGTTTCCAGGGGGAACCGCGTGGAGGTCGACCTTACAGAGTAAATTGCTAACAATGAGGCTATTAGACTTCATTACTAATAATCCCTTTCACCCCAGTGTTCCATGGTTTTGATACTTATAATTTTGTATCTAATTGAGTTATACTCGGAAGACAGTTGTATGCAAATGTTTTATCGATTCTTCATCTCAATATGCTTAAAGCTAGATTCGTCATGTATTATATGTGTTTTACTGGCGGCGTGTCCTCTTAAGGCTCTCAATGACAAATTGTTTGCCTGCTTCCATTCTAGATACGTCAAAAGCAAATCAAAGCGCTATGGTATTATTAAATTATTGGAAAACTGAACTTGTTCTATGTACATACATTTTACGGTATGAATGAACGTTTTTAATTAAGTAGGCATGTTTACAAAAAATACTTTATTTACTCAACTACTTACTAGTGTTATCAATATAGAAGCGAGTTTGTTTATTTGTTTGTTACCTCTTGGTACCTTGAGTAGGAAATAGAATTTTTTTTATCCCAATCAAAAAATATATAAAATTAGTATAATAAAAAAAAAATAAAAAAAATATAGTATTAAATGTTAATGTCCTTCATCGTCCCTTTTCATTGAAATTTTTAGTACTATACTCTAAACATTTGAAAACTAAATCGTTGATATGCGTTAAGACGTATAGCAACTCATAGCAATTTTTAACTTTCACTTTCAAAGCAAAGTTTTATATTTTCAGATCCATCAGTTTCGTTTGTGTGTTGTTTAGTTAGTTTATAAACTTTCAATTTCAACTTTCAATGTGGAATACACAGTGTGTGTGTTAGTGTGTATACTGATTCTATATCAATTAATAATAGTTTATCGAAAAGAAGACGACGAGAAGAAATATAAACGTGACATTGTATATACAAATCCCGTAGGGCGGGCGAGCGCGGAGACGGACATGCAGCCGACCTAGTTCGGGTCCGCTCGATGGCGGCCGAGCGCGCCCGCCGCGCCGCCCGCCCAGACCAGAATAGACGCAGCACGTGCGTCCGCCGCGGCACACGTCGCCGTCGTCGCGCCGCCCGCCCGCACGCGGCACACACTACGCTACGTCGCGCTGACATGCACTGCAAAAACTCGCACAAAACTAACAATAAGTAATCGCGTTGTGACTTGTGAATGTTACGTGTTACTAGTTTCGCTAGTTATACTTCCGACTTGTAGATCAAAAGTACACCTAACTATTTATAGCGTCGTCTGAAAGTATTTAGTGACTATTTGTACCATTCGGTAGCGGCCTTGTGCGTTATCTTGTATCGTGCCGGTGAAAGCTTTCACGTTCCCCACCTTTTCAGTTTACGTTTATAATGTGATTGTTGTTGTAGTGTAATATCTCGATATAGTGTCGAGTGTAGCCTTATACGAGTAACAAAATACAGTAACGATGTGCCTTATCGTGTAATAATCACGTGTTCGTGGGAATATTGTGTCCGTTCGTTGTATGCGCGTGATTCACTGCTTGAACGATGCAATGTCTCAAGCTTGTGCTGCTATTCGCGCTTATTGTGTTCCCGGAACCCGCGCCCGCCTGGAGAGGTGACATGTAAGCATTTTTTTTAATACATACAAAACCTTCAGTAATTGAATAATATTTTAATTAATAGTGTATTTACTTTGTTCAAATTAGGAATTTATTTCAAGTGTAGGGGAGACTAAACTTTCTGTTTCTCCAAAAAGGGCGTTAAAAGTTATGGTTAATAGGTTTTTTCAGCGTCGGCAACGGGTACGTTTACCGTTTTCCATAAAGCGGACCACATGTCTAATTCCCACCATTGTTAGATGAATTCAATTTTCATATAGGTATATATCTACCTATTATTGAGAATCGCAAACAAGCTCATTTGAAGGAAAGACGAGAAAGCGAAAGGGAGACTTTGTACAAAAGTGCTTGGCCACCTCTGTCCCATCCGTGTTTCTACCATGAAGCAGTTGTGTCTGCATGGTTGTGTTTTGGTTCGAAGGGTGGGATATGACAGTGAATTTACAGGGTACAGAGTGACAGGGTACACCTGAGTCCTCAGGAATGGCAACGCATGGGGGTATCATGGGCGGAACAGTATACTCTGTTATGTCCACGGTACTGTTTATATCTATAGGCGATGGTTACCATTTTCCATCAGGTAGACCGTCAACTTGCTTGCCATTCTAAGTTGCATAAAAACAAAAAAAAGCTAAGATATGAACAGCACATAGAAACATCATTACGCTGTGATAACATCGTTTTTCTCTTATTAAGACTCCTTATATTAATTTCTTTAATATATTGTATGTAAAATATTTAAAATATCTAGCTACAATTTTATTATATATATAGATTTGTAACTGATGGTCAAAAACAGTTCGAAAAACGGTTGGCTAACGTAAGGTAATAATTTTAGCCAGGTCAGCGTCACTTCGAACAAAAATCACTTGCGTGTGAAATTTATGCAACTATGTTATTCACTAAAATTAATTTTTTTACATGATAAAGCAACTATCTTTACGATATCAATATTTTGGACAGAGGATGTTATAAATAGTTGCATCTAAAACACTATATTCATTTATTTAGTTAATAGGTACATCTTTATTCTGTGCTTTAAGTAGACACCTACTTTTTAAAAACAAAACGTCTCATTTCTTAATGTTGCAAGTAAATTGATCAAAAAATCATTATAGTTACTATTTCTTATATATATATATATATATATATATATATATATATATATATATATATATATATATATATATATATATATTTATTATTTATTATTATGAACGTATCATTTTCAAAATTTTATAAATTATTTTTATTTCTCGGAATAAACTCTAAATTACCAATTATTTATTAATTTATAATATTTTTTTTTAATCTTTGAGTTTCGGACCTCGGTATATTCAGCGTACTTTTGTCAAATCAATATAAATTTTTCGCGCCAAAACTATAATTCGATTTTTAAAAATAAAAAGTTTTAATGTCATATTTGAATTTTCTTAATAGAAAATATATTACTTAAGTATATAACTATAAATTAAGAAAGTGAATTTTATGTTATTCATAAATAAATAATTCAAAGTAAAAGTTGAATTTAAAAGAAGACGAAATGAGTACTCGAGATGTTGATAAGTATTTACTTTATTACGTTAATGAGTACTTACTCAATTAGATTAATTTAATAATTTCCAAGCAGATCAATCAAAGTACAAGTAAGTAGCAGAAAATATTACTTATTTTTAATATTTATTTGTATTTGTTATATTCCATATATTTTGCAAAAGGGTTCTTTTATATTTTCCATTCAAGGTAATTACGATTTCCAATCTGTTAGGTATCATTCACTTTAAACATTCATTCTTTCCTCGATGAAAGTATTATTTTACTTATCTAATTCCTGCTGTTTTGTTCGCATAAAACAGTATATTTTTTGTACATGTATTTTTTTTTTATCTTTTTTCATTTTGCATTTGTGTCTGTTGCTGTTTGTGTGCTGTAAGTAATGCAAATAAATTATTTATCTATCTATCTATATTGTGATTGACCTATAAACACACCACATCTGAACATATGAACATCTTTACAAACTTTCAAATTTTTTATATTTATTAATGAAATGTAGTCATGGAGTCAGTGAGCCTCGCTATGAACAGTGAGATTGCTACAGTGAATATTTAGATCCATAAGCAGGATATTATTTATAGAATCATATGTGTAATTATATAAATACAGATGAACTATAGTTAGTGATTTAACTCTCTTGTTTATTTTTGCCTTGCACTATTCCTAGAATATATTATTCATATTGAGAGCGTGTTAATTAAACTCTAATTTATTCCATTGAAATTTCCATTCAATGTTTGTATCGAAAAAAGTTTACAGGAATGATCAAAATAGCTAGAAAATAATAATATAAAGATAGTTTAGCAGGGCTCTGGCATACTAAACCTTTCGAAAATCGTTTATCTCTCATCATCATCATCATCACGTCAGCCCTTAATTGTCCACTGCTGAATATAAGCCTTCCCCTTGGGAGGTTTTGCCAATATTTGCCACGTTTGGGAGGTAGTTTGGCAATCGCAGTCAGGTTATAGAGATGTTTTAAGAGGGACGCTGCTGCCCATTTCTCGTTCTGCTTTAGTCAGCTCTTACGACATCCATGGGATAGGAAGGGGTGGTCTATTCTATGCCGGGACCACACGGTTATCTCTATTCTTAGGGAAATGGCCATGATAGGGATAATATTAGATACTTATTGGCATCCAAACTAAAACAGGATCAGGTTTCAGTTTCGTCTTAACACACGAGAAAGTGAAATGAAGCTCACTTACATGTATTAATCTTCTCGTATGTGTGTATATGGGATGGCTGTAAGGGTAAATTTTTAAGAAAGGCTTCAATTACTTATTGTGACATATATTAATACCGTGAGTAATTTTCTGTAAAACTATATGATCATATTATGTTATTTGTCGGTGCATTAAACTTGAAATATAATTATTAATGATTGGTAGCAAACATAAATTCTACCTTTATGTTTGCTTTACGAATATTTACTCATATGTAATACAGGTATATAATTATAACTACGTATACTAACTACTACTAAAAATATTATGATCCTCTCTTGCAAACGGTGTTTCCATTCCCCCATAAGTCCCGAGAGATATTTATATTTGATGCAACGGTTACCGAATACAAATGTTGACGTTCTTGGCATATACGCGGTACATTTACGTTAATTGTTCCTAACATGCAACATGTCACTTTTCAAGATCTAAGTAAGTTATTATTATTATTCTAACTAAACTTTAATATTGATCTCAGGATATAAATTGGTTTAATTTATGGGTCTCGACAGTAATCTGAAAGTTTGTAAAGATGTTTAAAACTTTAGATGTTTGTTACTCAATCATGCTTAAATAGCAGAATGAATTTGAATAAAATTTGGTATGCAGATAAGACAATTTACAATATACAATAGGTATATAGTATAGATTAATTTATACAAAAACTAAGTTGGACGTTACTAAACTCTTGGCCTTTGTGTTACCGATATAATTTATTGGTATCATACTCTCCGGAAAATGACATATTTTCATTAAAACTCTATCGGTTGTATGTATACATATATAGATACTCTTTATTATTTCTTCCAAAAGACTACAATAGTAAATTTATTATAGATAAAAATAATTACAAGAAATTATCACAGTGAGAAAACAATGGGCGGACTTATAGCTAAAAGCGATCTCTTCCACGCAACCTTTGGATGAAGAGCAGTAATTATAAACAGTTTGAAAATTCTATCCTCCTTTTTAAATAAGAAGATGTAATACATAAAATAATGTAAATATATATTTCTACTCATTATTATATATATATATTATATAATGAACTACGAATATTTATTCCTAAGTATATAATGTAGTATTTAGTTCTTCATACAGGAATGTATTTGTACAATAATTCTATGGCTTATTAAAGTTTGATAATTGAATGATACGACATTATTTACTCGAAATCAATTGATAAATAATGCCACGATAATAACAAATCATTAATTGGTCAAATTTACTTTGTTACAGAGTCAAAGCATGGGCAAGAACCTTGGGAAATGAGCTGTGGCGTCTTAGTGAAGCTTTGACCAAATCAGACCAAATAAGAATCGTAAGTCAATTATTATTTATTTATTTTATAATTGTACTTGACTTAAACATAATCTTAAGCACATCAAGTACATCATTTATACATCTTGTAACTAGATATTTCTGTATAAAAAGAGTTTGTTAACTAAGAATTGATGTTTTTTTAGTACAAGACCGTCTTGTATCAGTATGAATTGGTAGGCAGTGGTTGGTAATCAGCTACACAGTTTTCAAAATCCATAACGTGAATAGGATAGAACTTGTTTGCTCGCGTCTGTAGATAAATATACTTTACTAAGTAAAACATATTACATATACATTAATGAAAATTCCAAGTTTATCTGCCGCGTTTGGGATTAAAGTTATGAGTATGGGTATTACATATATTTTAAGCTTAATAATTGAGATTGTAAATGGTAATTAGAATCGTAATGGAATAACCTTGCTCGAATTATAATCCTTATATAATTCATATAATTATTCTTTATATAATTACCAGAGGGAGACTTTGTACAAAAGTGGTTTACTTGGGCACCTCTGTCCCATTCGTGCTTCTACCGTGAAGTAGTTGTGTTTGCATGGCTGTGTTTCGGTTTAAATGGTGGGATATGGCAGTGAATTTACAGGGTATAGAGGAATGACACCTGAGTCCTCAGGAATGGCAATGCATGGGGGGTAACATGGGTGAAACAGAATACTCTGTTATGTCCATAGTACTGCTCATGTCTATAGGCGACTTTGTGTTGTGATGGAACTTCATTATATCGACTATGTAATATATTTAAAATATATTACTTTCAGGAAAGTGGTTCAAAATATTTTATAGAGTATTACGTAGTCGATGTAATCTTTATATATTATCTATTTACTTTGTAGATTTAAAATAAATCACATTATATTCCCAGATATCCAATAAACAATTTCTTTCAGAAATACAAACAAATGAACGCGAGCGTGAAGAAAAAAGATGGAAAGCACATATTAGATTCTTCTTTGAGTTCCGTGAGCACGATGCTCACGAGAAAAATCAAAGCCGTAAAGGTAAATAACATTGTTATGAAATAAAGTTCATCTCTATGAAGTATTATTGTTGAAAATTTTTTTCTTCATTAATATTTTTGCATGTCTGTGTTTCGATTTGAAAAAGGAATTATGGAAGGAAAATTATTTAGCATGAGAAATATTTTTAGAGTTAGGTTTTAATACAAATAAGTAAACAGTCCATCTGTTGACAAAATCAATTCTGGCACTGCTGTTTTGTTTATTTTGTACTTGGTAAACAATTATATGGCAGTGAAATAACTGGGTATGGAGGCATAACACCGTAACTCTCAGAAATGTATATGCGATTCCATGGACAGTGATTTTGCGATGTCTGTGAATAGGTAAGGCAGGGTTTTAGCTTGTTTGACATTATAAGTTATATGAAAACCTTTACTTGTAATTTTTTGAATATGTAACTTAATTACCTTACATTACAGTGCATCCATGCAACGGCACAGAAATTAGCTAGAGAGTTTAACTACACCGTAGCTGAGGACGAAAATTATAATTTCTCGTACTGTTCGGCCAAATATTCTCAATTTAGGTACGAAGATGGTACAATCGTAGACGACAGTGACAAACCAGGGTCGTACATACCTAAATTTGCTGTAAATAATTCCAATTATATGGATGTATCATTAGAAAAAGATTCGCATTTTTATGATATTAGCGTCAATACAAATATAAGTTGTGTACATGTTCCAACAAATATATTTTATAAAGGTAAATTTATTTATTATTTGAATTTGAAATATAGTTAATTTATGTATATATCTTACGTCTTTCATGATGGTATTAAACAATGTTGTTTTGCAGAAAGTAAACCTCTAACCGCAATACTGTGGTCTAAGGATCTCAATGAAATTTTCACAAAAAATTATCAATCCGATCCATCCCTCTCGTGGCAATATTTTGGAAGCTCGCACGGTATATTAAGGTTTTATCCTGGAATGCCCTGGAATAAAAATGAAGTCGATACCTACGACTGCAGAGTAAAACCTTGGTACATTGAAGCTGCAACGTGTTCTAAAGACGTTATTATCCTGTTTGATGTATCAGGGTCAATGACAGGGTTCAAGAATTATGTAGCGAGGAGAACTTTACATTCTCTCTTGGATACATTATCTAACAACGATTATGTCAACGTATATACGTTTAAGAATACAACTGCAGAAGTAATAGCATGCTTTACATACTTGGTACAAGCAACTCCTGAAAATTTGAAGACGATCAAAGACATACTAGAGCCGACTGACGATGGAAAGACGCATAAAGTACCTCTAGAAGGCAACGCTAATCTAACTGAGGCTTACATTAAAGCTTTTACTACATTGAAAGAGGTAAATCGTATTTTCATGTCTACTTTAGAAAACATTTCTATATTTAGATAGTAGGTATGTTCTCGTTGAGAAGTATATTAAAGGTAAAAAATCAAATAGAATAAAATGTCGCGTTGCTATCTAGAGTGCAAAATTATGATTGATTTATTCGTTATAGGCATTGGCGTTAAGAGGGATCTATAAGTTTTGTGTTGCGAGAAAAAATTCAGTCTTATGAAAAATCGTAGTAAAAGATTATTCTTAAATGCATACACTTTCTTTTATTTATATAAAAAAAAGGTTTAAAGGTCTGGTTATATCAGTTGTTTATGATTTTCTCGTGTTTTATTCAGATTTATTCATAAGCTTAAATTTTAATCATATTATTAAATTTTATGATCTGATACTGCTTAGTAGTTTGTATTTATATAAATGTATTATTTATATAATTAAACTTTTTTAAAAAAGAAACCATTGCGTTCCGAAAAGGCGAAAATGACTATTCAAAAATGCTTAAATCTAAGTTTACTTGAATAAAAACATTTCTTTCTTTCTTTCAATCTATTTTTTCATAGAAAATGATTTACAAGACAATTAGGTACATAAAAAGATATTTCCTTAGACAACTAATATTTTTGTATGACATAAAAAATTTTGAAGCATTTATACAACAAATAAAAATCATAAAAAAATTACTATCAGTGTCTGTTCACCAAAAGAGTTAATGGAATTTTAACAATTACAGAGAAGAGATGAGATGAGATGCAATGTGAGCAGCACACAAGGCTGCAATCAACTGGTGATGGTGATCACTGATTATGTACCTGGAAATCTTACTGAAGTATTCGAAGAATATAACCGAGAGGTGGTCGGTGGAAACACCTATATACCTGTTCGGGTATTCACTTATCTTATCGGAAAGGAGGTCACAAATGTACGGGAGATACAATGGATGGCGTGTCTGAATAGAGGTGAGAAATTATGCTAATTTTACTAAAATTATTAATGTGAAATTAATGTCAAAATGTGAAAATTAATGTAAATTTGTTTTAAAAGATGTTTAAATGTATGTTTTTCAATCGTATTTAAATAACTGAGTAAATATCATCATCATCATCGTATTAACCTTTAACTGTCCACTGCTCAACTTAAGCCTTCCCCTTGGGGGGTTTTGCCAGTAGTTGCCACGCTTGGCAGGTGGATTGGCAACCGCAGTTAGGCTTTAGAAACTTTTAAGAGGGACGGTGCTGCCCATCCCTTGTAACCCCTTAATCGCCTCTTACGACACCCACTGAAAAAGAAGGGGTGGCCTATTCTATACCGGGACCACACAGCGAATAGCTGAGTAAACTTGAATTTAATTGCATACACAGATTTAATCTGTTATATATTTTTTTAATTACCTTAAGAAAATGTATAGTATAACTTAATATATTAATTATAAAATTAGTGAGAATTGTGGGCGTAAAATTTCTAATCATTTTAAAGCTGTTTCTATAATGTTATGTGTGGATCAAAGGATAAATTACTAAAGTGGGCAAGTCTCTTAAGGTTTTCGCCGAAGTTCTAACAACAAGAATAACTCAATTTGATATCAGACTAACGATAATGAAATAAACCATTAGCTAGCTGTAGTATATACATATTTTTATTGGGGCAAAATTTTTTTTTGTCTTTATATATACAACGATCTGTCTCCTTGCTGGGACAATAAATAATATTTTTGACGTATACTTTAATGGCGTGCTCAGTATGCGACTTGAGTCGCATCCTACTTTATTTTATAGAACCATGTCTTGGGGCATTTTGCGTTTCAGTCTGCGAGTTGTGTGATTTACGTCCATAAGATCTCTTGCCGGTCTTTTAGGGTGTTTTGTTATCCTCTCCTTGTAAGATTGTGTGTGTTGTAGTATTTCCTATCTAACAGTTTTAATTTTTAGGTCATGATGCAGTTGCTCGTTTGTGACAAACCAAGGAGCATTGGTTATATGGGGTATTAATATATTACTATTTTTACTAGGTATGCTGTTGAAACTAGTATAATTTACTGTAAATAGTTTTGATTTATTTAAATCACTATCTTATGATAGCAATGATTTGAATAAAGGCTTAGGATCATGAGCTTCTTTACTTATTTATTGAATAATATACCTTGATAGATAGATACTCTTTATTGTTTTCTTCAAAAGATTACAACAGTAAACTTATTATAAATACAAACATTATACGAAATAATTACAAGAAATAATCACACTGAGATAATAGTGGGTGACTTTATCACTAAAAGCAATCTCTTCCAGACAACCTTTGGACGGAAAGGACTAATTACATATAAACAGTTTGATCGGAGGTACGACGAAAATTCTATCATTTCTAAATATGGAGATGCAATAGATGTAATAACGTAAATATATTCTGTCCAATTCGTGTTTCAACCGTAAAGCAGTTGTGTTTGTATGGCTGTGTTTCGGTTTGAAGGGTGGGATATGGCGTGAATTTATAGAGTATAGAGGAATAACATCTGAGTTCTCAGGAATGGCAACGCATGGTATGGGTATCATGGGCGAAACAGTATACTCTGTTATATCCATGGTACTACTCACGTCTATAGGCGACGGTTACCACTATCCATCAGGTGGGCCGTTAGCTTGTTTGCCATTCTAAGTTGTATAAAAAAATATCAGATACTGAGCTAATATGTGATAACCTTATACGTAATAAATCATAATGGATTTACTAAGACAAAACCTAATGATTGGTATACATGAAATTGCACAACTTTCTTCTAGGAGCGTAGTCGAAACCTTGAAATAAATAGTAAACATTTGATACGAACTGCCGCACGGTTGCACGATCGATCATAGCCCAAATAACTCCATTCTATATGTTACTATTATACTATAATCATACACGGTTAACTATACCCCTGATTTATAATTGATATATCCATTATGACTAACTCTGTACCTATATAGGTTTAGATTAGTAACTAGACCGTGTCTATGAATGCACACGCACGCTAGGCAGGATTTGGTGTGGTGAATAATTTAGCTCATGGAACATTACGGAGTACGTTTCGCTGAGGTCTTATTCCTAAGGGAAAATGCCTCGCTTTATTATTAATAATTGGAAAATACATAAACTCACCGTGCGAAGGGTATCGCTGGCTTAGCAACTAGTTAGGTAGTTTAATTTTTAACCGACTTCAAATAAAGAGAAAGACACGAGGAGGTTCCCAATTCGGTTGTATTTTTCATGCTTGTTAATTCTAAACTTCGTCATTTAAAAACCAATTTGAAAATTCCTTCTTTTTATCCAAAGGGATATACATTTAGATTGGTCCCATAGATTTTTTTTTCAAAATCGATTTAATAGCTTAGTTTTTAAAGCAAAGTAACTGGTTTTGGCATAACTGAAATCAATTACTTTTATTTTTTGGTACAAAATTTACTTATATGATATCAAATTAGAATTTGCGATTTATGGCGTTAAACCACAATGCGTGAATCATTGTACCTATATTGTAATATGAATGATAACAAGAATGCCAGTGGGATTACTGATATAAGTCCTGAGGAGTGGCAACGCGAATGGAGTGAGAGAGGCGTCACCGTATAATTTCCGATATCCATAATGTTTTTATGGCAGTGGGTATGTAAGCGAAGGCTGCCGGTTTCGTTGATATATACCGCTAGCTCTTACGCCATTTTTTGTGGGAAAGAAATGTAGGGATAATTGATTTCTGTATTTGTAGATGGGAAGATATAAATTGTGGTGGAATTTTGTGTAAAGCGCCTGGCTTGATACCGTTTTATTTATTGAGCATTGTATAAACGAGTATATTTTACTATATTATTTTTTGTATTTAAAGTCAGTATTCACTATATCTTATCAGCATGTTTGTTATTCAAATAATAAGTATGAAAAAGAGTTATTATTGGAGAGATAATTTCTATGTACTATTGCATGGAGGACGCAAAAGTCGCTGAAACCGTGTGTATATATAAAAAGAGATGTGCGTAAAAAGTAAGGACATATATCTTTTGGTACTTTGTTTTTTCTATTTAACCCGTGACCTGAAATGAAAATGGTCGTTCTTGTATGAATGTTGTTAGATAAGTACATGTACGTCGTGCTTGTTTCCCATTGGGGTAGGCAGAAACAATGGAATATCGCAATGTTTTAGATACCTACACTATATTGATTTTAGTTTACCTTTACTAGGTTTCTTCGTACACATACACTCCGTGGAAGAGGTGCAACAGCAAGTACTAAAATACATCAATGTCATTGCTCGTCCGATGATCCTCGAAGGCGAGAAGCCACCACCTACCTGGACCCACGCTAATATTGACTATACGGTATTTATTCTTCTATCCTTCTATTTAATCTTTTTTGACATTCGTTTTTTTTTCTATATATAATATAAATGTGCTATTTATTATGGACTCATTGGTATAATTTCGGAAAATTTTGAAGTAAATAAAAAATCAAATAATTAAAAATTTCAAGTTTCCAATTCCCGTTCAGTTTGTGTGTTGGTATATTAGCACAGTATAAGTAATACTTCTTTTAGTTAATGTTAGAATTATTTAGTTTAGAATAGTATTTTTTTACTTAAAAAACAACTCACATAGGTCCTAGATAGGGTTTCAATTCGTACTACATGATATCTTATTCAACTCTTCCACTTTAATAATTTTGTTTGCAATTAACAGGATTTTTTTATAATTATTATGAAAGATTCAACGGGAAATTTTTATTCTTTATCACCATAATATGTAATGTTATTGTTTTTTTTTTTATTTTCGAAATAAATTTTGACTTATGCTGCTTATTTTTTTTACAGCGAACGACCAAATGGGACGTCAGCGATGATGCAGTCAAGGTAGAATTTATGTATTTTATTATTAATATGAATCATTATTATAAATTACATACCTACATGGTTAACGCATTGCAAATTTTCTTCACGCGATTGCATACTTACTTAAGTATTTATAAATATAGATAAATATCTATTTTTTTAATTTTCGAGTTATTCTTTTCGAAATGCGCTATTGTTTCATATCATTTTCATACAAAATATTTTATATACAAAATACGACTTTGCGATGCGTATTACAGTTAAGCTGAAATGTAACAATATAAAAAAGATCAAACAACACCATATATTAAACTATTATTAAGTGGGTATTAGAGTTTTTGTAAATAAAAAACTAGTGTTGTTACGGAGCGTTATTCCTGTTTTTATTTCAAAATTAATGAGACCGCTCTTTTGTGTGGTTACATAACTGCCTTTTAAAACGTTTCTGTTATTTTCATATTATACCTTTTCCTTTATTTTACGGATTTTGCGATGGTCGTGGGTGAAAAATTGTTTTGTGAGTTCATAATCCTCTAAAATATTATATATATGTATTTTTAATGTGCTATATATAAATAGAGATATTATAAAACAAAATATGTATAGTATAAAGTTCCAAATTGTTATTTGTAACTAGGTTGGTATCTACTTATAAGTTATGTTAAATTTAGCAAGTATTGACAAATATTTAGTTCAAGGATTAGACACCCTCTAGTAATTAGTAAACAAACAGTAGATATCGAATATCGATAATTCCTTGTTTTGCTTCAATGGGAAAGGTGTTTTTAAGTATTTTCCTATGATTTGAACTTACCATTAGTTCGTAGTTATATTTGTTAATGAATTGAGACTGTAATTATTGTAATAGTAGTGAAAAAAATGAGCATTAGGCTGTTCATGAGGCTGTGGGGTAGGCTGGCATTAACTGATATTGTTTTTTGTGAATATAAACTGCACTTATAAAAGCTGATTTATATGGAAATTATGTCGTGACGTGTCCCCGATGGGATTCAGAATCGATTTAAATTGATGGAGTTTTCATATAGGCACCCATGGTATTATTATCTACTCAGATTTTATTAATTTTTTTATTTAGTCGTACAATATTATGATATCTATAATATACGTAAATATAGTTAAATGCAAATAGTAAAATAAGTCATCAGGTTTAATTAAATCTTAATCAATTATTTAATTTTACGTAGCACGTTTTTACATTATAATAACAGAAAACAGCATTCTGATAATTTCATTATTAATAAAATTAAGTAGTTACACAGTTGAAGTCAAACGAACAATATATCACATATAAGTACGACATTTTTTTTTAATAGGTGAAAATGGATTAGTGAGTCTGGTTTTTTTTAATGGAATATAATGGAATGGTAACCGCGCCTGTGCTAACGATATACGCTGGCGGGGCACTAGTGAAGGATGATAGATAAGAATGAAAAAGGCAGGTTAGTTAGCCCATCGTGATGAATACACCTGGAATTCAGCACGATGATTTCCAAGGAGGATCACAGAGACGTCGATTTGGTTGCATATATTGCTAACAATAGGCCCCTTAGTTTCCGTTACTAACAATTCTTTCCCCCCCTGGTGACTCTGGTTATAAAAAAGTTTTTACAAAAAGGTTTTTTAACACAATCTATATACAGTACAAGTGCCGCTTCGTTTTAGTCATAGTCATGAGGCTATAGTACTGCCCATGTCTATGCGACGGTTAGTACTTTCCATCAGGTGGGTCGTTAGTTTGTTTGCCAATATGTTGCATACAAGAAAAGTCTACTATTGATATGGTACTGTATTATATGTCAAGTGGTATTAATTAATGTTATAATTAATAATAATGATCAATCAAGTGACCAAAACAATACATAAAAAATATAATTACAGCCAGACGAAGACAAGCTGGTAACATCGGTGGCGATACCAGCATTTGACTTCAAATACAATGAAGAGAATAATGACGCTATGCTGCTGGGGGTGGCCGGTACGGATGTGCCCATAGACAGTATCGCGAAACTAGCTCAGCCTCATCAGGTATGATTATTTTTAATCATCATCATCATATTAACTATTATCTCTCTACATCTGAATATAGACCTCCCCCATAGACTGTCATAGGGAACGGGACCGTTCCTTATGGCAGTTTACCATTGGGAAGATTTTGTCAATAGTCGCTATGCTTGGCAGATGGGTTGGCAACCGCGGTTTAGCTTTTCGTGATTGTTTAAGAGGGACATTGCTATCCATCCCTCCACTATTAAGTTCTTTTAGTCGTTTCTTACGACACATACGGGAAATAGAAGGGGTGGCCTATTCTATGTTAGGAACACACACAATATATTTTTCTCAAACATGCTTGGAAATGTGAACATTATTTATTATTCGTCATTGAACTTAAAAAGTAAAATCGTGTTTTAGATTTCCGCGCATTGTTTGAGAAAAGTACTATACAAGCCTTGGCTACAACTAGGCATTGATGGACTTACGTATATGTGCCTCGGCTACTCCTCGGCCCACATTTGCACGTTCGTCTATCAATGCCTCAGTCGCTGGCCGTTGCAGTAATGTACTATATTTATATTATATATATATCCTTGCTAGTTTTATTACTTTCTTGTGAGCTTTATGTGTGTAAATACTGTAACAAATTCACAACTAATCGTTGTGAATTTGTTACAGTATTGGTATACAAAAGTTATTTTAAATATACCTACGTTATTTACTCACCGTTGTTCTCTACTCAACCCTAATTAAAGTTATATATAGATAATTAAAGAGATAATAAACATAATGAATGGTGTAACTCACCGGTTTCATCTAAAACTGTCTTAAAAGTCGTAGCGATTTTAAATACAGTAGGAAATTTGAATAAAGGGCTTTCCTTCCTCATTAATTACACGAGACAGTAAGGAGCAAAAGGTTTAAATAAAATTATCTGTATTATGAAAAGGATCTGTAGCTACCTACTTAGTACGTCTGCAGCTAGAATAGGAAATTGGATTTAAGAGGAATGAAAATGAATTGAATTTACATAATTGAATGAAATGTTTTCCACGTGAATAAGTTACCAGCATATTGTGTATCCCAAACTCAGCGAGATGAAATATGAACGAACAATGGAATTTTGAATTAGTGTGTGCCTGTATTGCGAATAACTCGGTAGAGCAGTGATTACATACGTTGCTTTGCATAATGACTTGCCGGGTTCGAAGCCCGATTGGGCGAGTGGGAAATAAAATCTTCTCTATTGATAAAAACTTAATAGGCAATGGATAAATTAGTCCACATTTATCCTAGATAATGATACCCTTAGGTAATAAAAAAAAAAACAAGTAAAAGGTTTTGGTTAAAGAATTGTGTGGTCAAATGTGATATATAATTTATAAAGGAATTCTGTAAGTACTGAAAGTTGCTATTATTTTTATATTTGTTTTCTTTTTATTAATCAATAATACATATCACGAAGATCGTTAGCTATTGATATTATTGGAAAACCATTTGTACTTTTTCACAAAATTTATAATAAATACCTGACCGGGTTCATAATTTAGGACAGTTTCAAAGGGTTTTTTTTTTTATAATACTTATTTTATTTTTAGAATACTTATTGATTGTCAGTAATTTTGGCCCCCATGCTAGGAAAGTCCTGTGTTAGTCTACTGTACATTAAATTTTTAATTTTATGTAAGTTTAAAGAATGTTTAATAAAAATAATTACAGAATTAAAGGTTAAATTGTAAAGGAAATAACAATAATACTAGCATTAAATAATAAATTTACTGCCTTTATTTATATATTGTTAAATGTTAATTTTACACTAGTTTTATCCCGTGCAATCAATTGAAAGATGATCGATTTGTTAGCTATACTATTATTTACTTCGTTGTTAATTATAATATTTAGTTGATTCTTTTAAAATATACGAAATAAGAATTTGGGAAGAAATAATATTATAATTTTAATCATTTAAGAATTAACTCCAGTGGGAAAAGAAAATAATTAATTTCTTTTATTGTAGATGTTCTAACTTTAATCCAATATTAATTTATTATAAACGCCGTCTCACTTAGATATTATTCGTAGGTACTTCGAGCTTGAAATCTATACTCCTATAGCTACTATTGTTTTTTTTCTACAGGATAATCTTTCAATATAGATTAGATATTCGTTTACGTATATATTTAAAGAATAATTATTACTAATATTATTATATGTATATATATATATATATATATATAGCCCGATAGCGCAGGCGGGGTTACCATTCCATTATCAACTATTAAAAAAAAACCTAGTTATACTATTATTATTCAATTAGAGCATTATTTATTGTATTCGTGTATACATTACGATTTTAATTGGTTCTGCTTATAAATAAATTTTACATTGTTCCAGCTTGGCGTCAATGGATATTCCTTCATTGTGAGCAACAATGGTTATTTACTCCTACATCCATTATTGAAAACAACTGTAAGTACCGTTTATCTATTTTTACTTACTGTAAAAGCACGTACATTGGTAAATAAAATTAGGTTTAATTAGTAAATCTCAACCTCAGAATTTACCAACAGCAATTGATAAATGTAAAGATTTTATAAAAAAAAAACATCATTTTTGGGGCTTTTGCCGAGTCAAACCTAGGTTAAGTCTACCTATCTACCTTTATATCTTACTGTTTTGTCTACAACGTCTATCACGCACTAAATATGTCTAAATATAATTGTCTATTTTTGATATTTACCACGTCTCTAGGGTAAATAAGTATGATCATAAAATATTTCGAACATTTAATATTAAAAGTTAGTAAATCTTAAAATTTACTAGTAAAACCTAATATTTATTTATTTATAGGAACACATGATGACACATAGAACAATAAGAATTAAAATTAATATTAAAAGATATATATATATATATATATATATATATATATATATATATATATATATATATATATATATATATATATATATATATATAATATATCTAAAGGATATGTTTATAAAAGATATTTATATAACAGGTAGATATTCTTTTATATGGGCACGGGGGTGGTTAGGAGGAAGGGGGTGAGGGTGTGTACCTACTGTCCAACATAGTAAGTTAGTCGGTTTCTACGATCATCAGATTTATTGTGCTCGGAAGCTTGCGGTAATCGATAAAGTGACTGCGTGTTCTCTAGATAACGTACTTATCTATGTGTGTCTCTCTGTGTGTTACAACACAGTGCGGCTAGAGGATGGGATTGTTAGTAATGCGGATTAATATACTCTGTCAAGTCGACCTCCACGTGGTCCCCTCTGGATATCATCGTGCTGAATTCCAGGTGTATTTATCACGATGGGTTAACTGATCCCTCTTTTCATTCTCACTTATCATCCCTCACTGGTGCCCCCACAGCGTATACCGTTAGTGCAGGCGGTGTAACCAAATTACAGTCATTAAGCACAGTTACTTCACGGCAAGAAGACGAGTGGGACAGACGTACCTAAATAGATGACTTTTGTACAATGTCCATAATTGAGGGAAAATATAATAAAAGAAATACACAACATTTACATGCAAAAAATATGAATAATGTAAAGAACTTTAAGCTATCTAACTGTAATAAATTGCACAAAAAAAAAAAACTTTGTAGGCGTAGGAGGATTGGGTCGCGTATTGTGAAAAAGTTTTGAAAGAGTTCGTCAAGTCCGGTACTCGAGGCGTCGACGAGATATTTATTTCCGAAGCCACTTGTTTTCCGATCGGTTACTTCGCAGGTCACGTTTCCTTTGCGATTTGTTTGGGATTTCTAAGAGTAAACCGATAATGATTGGAAAAACAAAATATTTTTCTAAATGTATTTTTTGTAGCCCGTTGATAAACAAAAGCTACGTGTTTAATGTGTTAAAATTGTGAACATTCTCAGTTCAGACTCGTATTAAAGGCATTGTATACTCTGTATAAAAAAAAAAGGATATATATATATATATATATATATATATATATATATATATATATATATATATATATATATATATATATATATATATATATATATATATATATATATTCTTCTATCTCTAACTATTCCACTAAGGTTTACAATATTTATTTTTGTTTTACGGTAGGTAATACTTGTAGTATTGTATTGTAAAACCAACAGATAAATGACGAGTTACAAGATAACTACAACAGCGTAGATTTCGTGGAGGTGGAGCAGGTGGACGACGGGAAGGGGGCCCGGGAGCTCGGCGACGAGATCAAAACGTTGAGGGAGAGCCTAGTGGATGGCGTCAGCGGTGACATGAGGGAAGTCAAAGTGCTTTTCCACTATGACGACATGAGGTAATGATAGCTTTTTATTATTTGATTATGTGTGTGTGTATGTGTATCTGTATTTATGAGAAAAATTGAATGAAATATTATGAGCCCAGTGAAGCAGTAGCTTAACTGGTAAGAATATTAATTCCTTGTCGAAGGAGGGTTCGAACTCCACTTCTACATTTTTTTTTGTTAATAGGTACATAAATTTTCTGTTTTACGGTGTTCGTTCATTTTAATCTTCGAAAGTGCTCAACCGATTTTAATGAATTTTTGAAAACGTGTATTGTAAATTGAGAGATATGATAATCCTTATTCCAATAAGAAAAAACGAACCCGATAGGTGGTGGTAAAAATAACGTTTACCGAGCCAACTAGTCTCACAATAATTATTGGGATATAATTTTTATCTAATATATAAAATTCTCGTGTCGCGGTGTTTGTTACCAAACTCCTCCGAAACGGCTTTACCGATATTTATGAAATTTTGTGTGCATATTGGGTAGGTCTGAGAATCGGCCAACATCTATTTTTCATACCCGTCAGTGATAAGGGTGACCCACCACAAAAATTTTTTTATTTATTTTTTTGACCAATTTTTTATTTTAATTTTATTATAATTTAGCATTGAAAAATACATACAACTTAAAATTTTCATCGTTTTACGACCAACCCCTGTATTTTAATCGCGATTTTTATATTTCGCAATAAGTGGTAAAACAACGCTTACGGGGTCAGCTAGTATTTTACTAAATTGGCAATTGTCTAGTCATATATAAATGTTTAATATGTGTTACTTCGATTATCTGGAGTCCATTTAGTTAAACTATAAGTAGTACAGAACTACGAAATTATACGACCACTACGAAGAATTATGGTGATTTCCCTAAAGGCTTTATATATTTTTTCTGGAAAGTTTCCAAAAATAATTTATATAAGTTTAAATGTTTTTCTCTCGTTTCTGTTGTTTTTACTATTCTTTGAAAGTCTTTGAGAGCCTTTTCTAGAATAAGAATTCATTTATTTGCTAGAATAAGATACATTTACAGATGTTACATTAGAAGACATGTCCATGGCACTGCTCATGTCTATAGGCGACGGTTACCACTTTCCATCAGGTGGGCCGTCAGCTTGTTTGCCATTTTAAGTTGTATAAAAAAAAGACAATTATAGTCAAATCTTATTCTGCCATAATATAGGCATGCAAATATTAAAATTTATGACACAAGAAATTAAAAATAATTAACTCATCGGAATTTAATACATATATATTGCAATAATATTTTGTTTCTTTTTGTGTATTTATTGCTTATCTAGTCATGGTTGCCAATTCATTAATAATATAAATTCAATATTAAAAATACCACTTAATTAATTATAAAAACTGCAACATAATGAACACGTGTACCAATTTATGTATTTATCATTTATCAATTACAAAGAAAAATATCATATTTTATATGCATAAGGTTTTTTTTTATCATCATATCATGGATTCGTTTCATCAGCACTTAGTTATGGTTTGATTATTTGGGGGAATTCGCCTGACATAGAAAGAGTCCTCAAAGCGCAAAAAAAATGTATAAGGGCTATTAGCAATGTGGGGTGCCAGGAATCTTGTAGGCCATTATTAAAAAAATTAGGAATCCTTCCCCTGACTTGCATGTATATATTTGCTATATGTACTTTTATTAAGCAACACCCTGAATTATTTAATACATGTGGACAACTCAAAGAAGGCATTAGATCACACAGAAAAAACAAACTTGTGATACCAAAAAGTAATTTGACCTTGTACCAAAAAAATGTTTCATTTATGGCCCAAAAAATATATAATAAACTTCCTTCAGATCTTTTAGACCTTCCCCTGAAAATATTTAAGAAACGGCTTCATCTATGGCTTCTGGATAAGGTCTTTTACAGTATGGGAGAATATTATGCCTACACATCCCAAAAATAGTTAACATAATTATTAATAATATAAATCCTTAAGACTTGACATAAATTTGCTATTGACATAACATATGGAATGTAATTTGTATTTAATTAATAATAATAATGTAATTGTTAATTTTATTTGACGATATTGAATATGTAATTTGACTTGATAATTGTTTGAGCATTGTTTTCTTTTTTTTTCTTTTTTTTTTATTATTCTATGATCATAATAATGTATTAGTATAAATTAAATTTGTAATCTTATTTAAGGAATAAATTAGATTTGCATGCCTACAATTTTAAGGCAATTAGACAGATGCCAAAAAGTTGTGTCACATGGCCCTTATAATGTCAAATGTCTGTTTAAAGCAAATAAATATTTCATTTCATTTCATTTCATTTCATTTCATTTCATTTCATTTCATTTCATTTCGTTTCATTTCATTTCATTTCATTTCATTTCATGTCATTTCATTTCATTTCATTTCATTTCATTTCATTTCATTTCATTTCATTTCATTTCATTTCATTTCATTTTCATTTAAGAGTTTCCTTTTATCGGTGCAACTAATTCACATAAGATTCAATAAATAATAAATATATAATGAATGTTTTTTTTTTTATTCTGAATACTTCAAATATTTCAACAGTAATCTTCAATATTAACAGACATTTTTATAATTAGTAAAATGATTTATTTTCAAGTCGTAACTCAGTTACGATAACGGAATATTGCCCTTTTAAGAATAAGTCAACAATAATTCAATTAAGCGAAAAAACCTGTTAAATCTGGCAAAAATCAACATTATCTACTAATGGATATTATTTCTCAGGAGGATTGCTCGAGTGAAACATGATTACTTCTTCAACAAATTGGAAGGTACACCTTTTTCTATGGGCATTTCTTTACCAAAAGGGTATGGGGATACGGAACTTTTGCTCAAGGATAACCCCCTAGAGGCGAAACAGGGGAAGGAACTGACGGGCATCAACGTCACGGATTACTTCAGATTTAGCTACAGAGTACATCCCGATTGGTAAGTTTTATCTGTTTGTATTTGTAACATCTATATCATTAAAAAAAAAATTTATATGTTAAATAACTTTTCAAAAAAAAATTTGAGTATTTGCCAACGGATATGTAGCGTGTTTGAGATTATTTTTAGGGGAGTCTGGCCCTTTAAAAAGATTAATATGTACTCTTAAACATGTCTTTGTGAATCTTAACTCGCTTCCTGGTGTTAACACCATTTTTGGGGTTTTTTTTTGATGGGTGGAAGTGGAATGGTAACCTGCGCTAACGGGATATGCTGGCGGAGCATCAGTGAAGGGTGATCGATGAGAATGAAAACAGGCCAGTTAGCCCATCATGATGAATTCATCAGGAATTAAACATGATAGTTTCCAGGGGAAACCGCGAGGAGCTCGACCTGGTTGGGTATATTGCTAGCAATGGGATTCTCAGTCTCCATTACTAACAATCCCTTTCCCCCCTACCATTTCTGGGTAGGTACGGTCCACACGGTATTCACTAAATATATAAATACATTTATGCTTCCGATAGCTGGATTCTCATATTAGTATTACATTGATTAGAACTCATATCTTTTTGTTATCCGGGTTGAGTGTATTCCCAATTACACTACGAAAGGAATATTATCAATTGGCAAGTATTCCAATCGTCCATTTAAACGTCATTACGTTTAACGTTTTTCAACTTATTATTTAGTATTTCCATTTGCAATGTTACTTCTACGCCTTTATAAAATCTCAAATATTGGAAAGTTTGTTTTAATTACTGAGTAGTAAGTAAAATAATTTTGGTTTTTATTTTGAAAAAAAAAATAACAGTTGGTCCCATATTACTTTTGTCAAGATATGGCAAATAAGGGTAAATCTTGGACTGCAAAAAGTAATATTATAATATTACTTTTTGCAGTCCAAGATTTACTTAAGATTGCGTACTTAAAAAACTATTAAGTTTGGCAAAATCTGTTATTTTGATTTAAAAACTAAAGTACTAAATCCATTTTGATAAAATTTCTGTGGGACCTATTTGAAAATATATCCTTTCTGATAAAGATAGTTTTCTGAATCGGTTTAAAAATGACGGATTTAAGCGATAACAGACAAACATAAAAAAATACATCTGAATTGAGAACCTTTAACGTTTTTGAAGTCGGTTGAAAGATCCCATTTAGAATCACCAAAGATATCACTAAATATAGACACAAAAATACAGGTAAACGGAGAAGTCTTTCTTTTTGAAATTCTTTCAAAATATAAAACGTGGTAATAAAGACAGATTTTTTTTTATTAATGTTTCCAATTTATATAAAGAGTCTTCTTATTACTTTAATACATACATTCTTGTAAATTGTTTAATTGTCCTTAAAAATTCAGTCTGCTTGTTTAATAACCGTAATTATTTTCATTGTTTTGGACCTTTGTATACGGACAATAATGGATGATCAAAAGGAAAAAAAAAAATAGCATGAGAAGTCATTAAATTCACGCGAAAGATTTTAATAATGTATTATGTTTGCGATAATAAATACGTAAGAAATAAGGTACATTGAGCATGTGGGTATGTCGTAAGTACCTCACATTACTCAATTCATCATCATCATCATATTAGCCATTATTTGTTCACTACTGTATATAGGCCTCCCCCATAGACTCCCATAAGGAACGGTCCTGAGCTACCTGCATCTATTGATTCCCTGCAATGCATTTGAGATCGACACTCCATCAAGTCCTACATTGCATTTGCCCATATGGAGTCGCCACTCAAGAACCTTTCTTCCGTATCGCTTGTTGGTTCTTCGAGCTATGTGTCCAGCCCATTGCCACTTCAACTTGCTTATCCTTCGGGCTATGACATATTACTTTACAATACATTACACAATTAGAATCATTTTAATCTGCAAAACTTAATTTATTATTTTAGGGTATACTGCAAGTATCATTATTTAGAAGGCCACGAATCGAAAAATCCCGAGGAAGAGATTTGGAAGTTTCTGGTAAATTTGTCGAAGAATCAAATTGATATTACAAAGAAGCAGTATATAGAAGAGGCGGAGACTGATGATTTTGATGTCGAAAGTAAGTATACAGGAATATGACACTTTTAATGTGATCAATCACTTATCTCGCCGCGCGAGTTGATGGAGATGACTAAGGGAATTTTCTGATAGCATCACACCCACACGCAAATAAGTGGCTGACATAAAAGAAAGAAAATAAAAGAAAAAAAAATGACGAGGGTGTGTGCACGGGATATTTGATAATGTAATTGAAAATTCATCGGATGCTTTTCAGCGGGTTACGCGAAAATTGATTTAACGGCAGGTTTTATATTTACTTTATTATGTAAAATATTTTAAAACTCACCTCGTCAAAAGAATTGGTTATGACATTCCTTTTTTGATGTCGGAAGCTAATAAACAGGAACATGTGGCGCGTATGAAAAGATATGAGACCATCTTTATTTTATAAATTTATGAAATATTCTCTTTACTTTTAAATACAATTTATACTTTTCTTGACATTCTACGTAATTTTACTTATATATTTTATTACGTGACTACAATGGCATATTGCTTTGCGAAAATGAGATCGCAGGATTGATTTTCAATCAAGGCAATTTATGAAATAAAATTTCTTATGTTGGCTTGGATATGGTTATTATAGGCTGTGTTCATTATTTCAGATCAATGTTCACATAATCTCTTAGTTTGAGGTAGAGGCGATTGCCATTATGGTACGGTTCTGAATCTCCTCGGGTCTGAATATTTAGGATTGTGCTAGATATTCATTCTTTGGTTTTTCAACACAGGGAAACCTAGCTTAAGGTCCAGATGGTTGGAGCAATGTGGTAATTAATTAATTACTTCAACAGCTCATTGCGGAAACGCTACAACGCAACTTGGCAAAGATGATTATTACTGCAACGAAGACTTGGTCAAGCAATTGGTATTCGATGCTAAGTTGACAACTCCCTATTTCAACACATGGAGTAGGAGTGACGAGGAATTGGAACTCGCGAGGAAGTACAATGTCAGCGTCCGTTTCATTGCTACGTCAAGTGGTTTGACTAGATGGCATTATATTTTTGATTCAGATAAAAACGAAGTAGTCGACGATTTCGGAAACAGATTGAAAAATTCTACCAAAAAGTAAGTGAAGGCAAATATTTTATAGAAATTTAATTTTACAATAACAGATTGCAGACAAGTGATGATACTGTAGCACATTTTGCATATTATGTAGATCTAGACACTTCAATGTTTCCGACAAGTTTCGTATTCTCAGACAACAATCTTACGTACATATCTAATTTCACATAGCATGTTACCTCTGTTTATGGATCTGACATAAGTTGTGATTCACTTCTGTTTGTATTCATAGCTTTATACAATAGAGTTTGGTAAAGAAAATTTGTATATATAATTATATAAATATAGTGTCTCCATAGAAATGCCTCGAGAAAAACAGGTCAATTATTTCATACAATTTTGCGTGATAGTTATGGGTGTTTCCTTTATAACCCTATATTTATTTTGCATTATAATTTCTGCATATTTTTAATGCGTAAACATTCATTTTATTTATTAAATAATACGTGAGGATACATTTTATGAGTAATTATAAGTAAGAACACTGATTAAAGCAATTTGATTTGACAATTAGCTGACAAAAAGTTGACCTGTTTTTGAGGTTCGATGCTCCATCTATATAATGTAAGGTATATATAATAATACAAAACAATTTTATATATTTTCAGAGTTTTTGGAGACAAAAATAAACTTGCTATCGAAGAGACCTGGTACAAAGCAGCAGTACTACAGCATATGATAAACAAGGAATCCGTAGTTATAGCCACGCCTTTACCTATTTTGGACGAGAGTATCAAAAAGAGACCATCTGTGCTAAACAAAGATGGAGATATAACAGTGACGTCCAGTTATGCAATTTTCTACAAAGACGGCGAATCTGAGACTCCAGCATCAGTTGTCGGCTTCCAATATTCATATTTGAAATTTCAAGAGAGATTCCAAGAAATAACAAATGAAACATCGGAAAAGGTATAAATATTATATTCACATTTTATACTCATTCGAATACCTTAATCGTCCAGTAGTCACATTGCTTTCCGTAAATGGGATCCCGGATTCGATTCTCGGTCGATTCTAGGAAATATACTTTTCGAAATTAGTTTTGGTTTGACTGTTCTAATAAATGATATTAAATGTTTGATGTATGATTTTACTTGGGACGGGGTATCCTAGTTTAATAACAACAACTACTTGCTACTACTAGTTATTTATTCTTACTATTATTTATGTATTAAAGACATTCCGAGCATAATCTTAAACAGGTATCTTAAATTCGAATAATCTTTAATGCTCGTAAATTTAAATTTGGCAGACACCAAAAGAATTAGTCATTGTGTTCTCGTAGAGCATATGTTAATGGATGAAAATTGAATGGTAACCATATTTGCGCTAATGATTTATCCTAGCGGAGTACCAGGGAGGTAATAGGTGAGGATGAAGTCAATTGACCCACTGAGTATTAAATACGATAGTTTCCAGGGTATATTGCTGGTATTAGGATCGCCAGTTCCCGCCACTTTCAATCTCCTCCCACTGTGTCAGAGTATTATTACCAGAGGGAAACTTTGTACAAAAGTCGATTGCTTGGATACCTCTGTCCCACTCGTGTTTCAACTGTGAAGCAGTTGTGTTTGCATAACTGTGTTTCAGTTTGAAGGGTGGGATATGGCGTGAATTTACTGGGTACAAAGGAATAACACCTGAGTCCTCAGGAATGGCAACGCATGGGGGGTATCATGGGCGAAACAGTATACTCGGTTATGTCCATGGTACTGCTCATGTCTATAGGCGATGGTTACCACTTTCCATCAGGTGGGCCGTCAGCTTGTTTGCCATTCCAAGTTGTATAAAAAAAATAATTAAATAAGTATGCCCACGAGGCTTTTCATATAAATGGGAAGCCTTACGAACATTATAAATGTAAAAGTCAGTTTGTATGTTAACATCTCTTCGCACTTTAACGGCTTTATCAGTCGTCATGAAAATTGTTATGAATTATATACATATATTTGCTGTATCGTACCGTAAAAGAGTGGGCCATCCCTTCATTTACTGTAGGTGTCGTAACAGGCGACTTAATGAGGAAGAAGGAGATGGCCTAAGGGAATTTAATGGTCGAGAAATGGGCAGCAGTATCCCTTTTAAAATATCACTAAAGCCTGATTACCGTTGCTAACCCGCTTGCCCAGCGTGACAACTATTGGCCAAACCCTCCTTATGGGGGAGGCCTATGTTCAACAGTGGACATTTAACCGCTGATGTGATGATGATATATATGGGATGGAAAAGTATATGGGTTACTATTTATGTCGGCCAATCAACATATCCCGGTCTCACGGACGACATTGCGAGTAAAAGCTAAATAAATAATGTAATTTTAAGAATAACCAAACTGACCTACGTTTATTTTTATCGTGAATGCCTGATTAGTTTCGTGACCGACTGGGACCCTTAATCACGAGTAACTACATATGCGAGCACGAGTTTGGCTCTTAAAATAAAAATATAACTTATTTATAACTGCTCCCTTTCTTTGTTACAGGAGTTTACATGCAACGGAGATAATTACGACTGCTATGTCATAGACAGTTCTGGTTACGTCGTATTATCAAGGCAAAAAGAACAAATAGGCCAGTTCTTCGGAGTCATAGACTCGAACACGAGACACGTGCTACAGTCGTTTATAGACAAATCGATATTTGAACATGTGGAGGTGTTCAACTATCAGGCTTTATGTCCTTACTATATGTTAAAACAGCCGAACAGTGCCTGGACAGTAGCGACGGTTAGTACAAATATGAAGTTACTAGCTCTAATTCGCGGCATTCCTGGGTTAGAATAAACTGTAAACCATGATAATCTGGGCTACGTTTAGGTTAAGATATATTTTCTGTCTGTTTGTATGTTTGTCCCAGTATCAGGTAAAAATTACTGCACCAAAGTGGATGTGGTTTTTCAAATTAAAAATTTTTGTATGTTTTATCTTGATATTGTCACACAGATGTGATTTATTTTTGTTTTCCTATTTATAAAATCCACGGAAATATAATCGCGGGGAAAAGTTAGTATTTTATATTAACATTCTTCACCAGGAAGTCGTATTCATAAGAGATTACGGGATCAAGCATAATACCTATCTTTTTAACTGAAACAGATAACGCATTGCTGCTTTAATGTTACTGTTTCATAGCTGCAGCCTTAGTCTATCTGGATTCCTTGGAGCGGTGGGTCAGTGCCGCCCAATTCGTGGATCAATCGTGACCCAATCGGTAAATCAGTATAATGATACTGATCTACCGATTTTCCTTTTATTAGCTCCCTCCTTCTAAGGCTAGCATGTACAGGATATAGCCTGGTAAGCTGACCAGGCGGTCAGCAGTACAGTCAGGGGGAAAGGGATTGTTAGCAATGGAGTTTGACAGCCCCATTGCTAGCAATATGCCCTATTAGGTCGACCTCCACGTGGTTTCCCCTGGAAACCATCGTGAACAATTCTTGTTGAATTCGTCACGATGGGCTAACTGACCTGTTTCATCCTCACCTATCATCCTTCACTGGTGCTCCGCCGGTATATACCGAAAGCGCGGGTGGGGTTACCATTACATTATCATACATAAAAAAAAGCAGTGCATTCACATGATATAGGATTAATTTCGTGTATTCCTTGTCTTGTGCAGGTGTATTAGACTTATTTTAATTGCCTCTTATAACATCCTAAGGATGTAAAGGAGGAGTGACGCTGATTCTAACATATCTCGTCATTAATTGGAATGTTTATGTATGTTCATAATTGATGTGGCTCTTTTGCGATGAAAAATTTTAATGAATGTAGCAAGAGATATGTATAAAGATAGATAGATGCCTTAGATATTTGGTTTCTTTTTTAATTGCCTTATAAACGATCTGGTATTTCAAAGAAACATTACAGTATTATGTATTCTTATCACAAAAATCGATATTGCAAATCAGTGTTATCAGTAGTACCACAAATAAAGTTTTGTGATAGGAAAGTTTTATAATTCCGTTGTTCAAATTTACATTTGAACTATTCTTTTTTTTTTGTTTTAAGACAAATAAGATACACTGTTGAACAAAAACTGCGTAGCAAAATATTATAAACTCAATATTGTGCATTCTGTATATGTTTTTTCATTTAAGAGTTTCCTCTTGTCGGTGCAACTAATTGCGTTCTATATACGAGTACAATTATTTCTAGTTATTAGATTAGATTGCCGTGTGGTCCCGGCTTAGAATAAGACACCCCTTTTTTCCGTGGGTGTCGTAAGAAGCGATTAAGAGAGGACGAGGGATAGATAGCAGCGTCCTCCTTTCCAACGCCTAACTGCGGTTGCCAATCCGCCTGCCAAGCGTGGCAACTACTGGCAAAACCTCCTTACATTCAGCAGTGGACGGTTAAAGGCTAATATGATGATGATGATCAGATTAGAATTCTAATTATTTTTAATCTTATCTGTTTACGAAATAACTCGTTTGATTGAAAATCGATGAGTTCAAATCTGACAAATCATTGCGTGCATACCAAATGTATGTGATGTTTTGTCAGAACTGAATATAGCAAAAAAAATTATACTTGTAACTAAGTAGGTTTCAAACGAATTTCAAATTGAAAGAATATGATATCAAATTATTATTTACTTTCACACGGAGAGCTGTTCGTTTTTATTATTTTATTTTTAATTAATTATAAATTTGATATTTAATGACATATATTCTATTTTGTTTTTTAAATGAATTTATTTATTTTCAGCCTTTTAGTACAGCTACGAATTTCTTCCGTTGGTTATTAGCAGAGGCTATGTTGATTTTATCCGATGTTACAAATTGGAATTGGAAAGTGTTCGCTTTGGATGACGGTAAGAGATCACACTATACATTATAATAATTATAATATGATTATATTAGTATATATATACTCATATGTTATATTTTTTAAAGTATTTTCATAACAGTAATTTCGATTTGTTATTATAATTAAATGATATATATATATATATATATATATATATATATATATATATATATATATATATATATATATATATATATATATAATACCTTTAATATTTCCGCTTTGAATAACCGCATGGTTGTCTCGCAGACTATAGCGATCTAATCAACCAAGAGCCCACAGAGGAGCCCACGACAACCAATCCACCGCCGTCGGAAAACGAAACCATACCAGCCCAAGAGGAAGAGGACAAACCGTTCTCTTGTGATCACCGCATCAGTCTATACATTTTGAAACAAGAATATATCTTAGAAACTATGGGAGCATCGCCAGTGGTCTATGAGGACCGACCCGGTGCTTGTCATCCGGCGTATTGGGCGTCTCACGTGTCTAAAACAAACTTGCTACTGGTTGTGGTGGAAAGCGGGATGAGGGAATATGGGAGGAACTGCAGCATACCCCCAGACACGAAGCCGCAGCCAACTGTCGATTCCACGACTAGTCGGGAGCCGTGCCACAAGTTGGACTTGGGACATCTGAAACGCCGTCGGCTGGAAGGATGTTTTACCTACCATATAGGGGTATTTTTTCAAATTTCCTTTTAGATTTAAGTAAAATACGGATCCTTTAAACGTAGCGTGAAAAAGTACTTAATGAGCCGGCATAGTGCGGTCAGCCGTTGAGAGTAGTTTCTCTCTTCGCTCGATCGCTTTCATGGATCATGTTGTCTCTGTATTTGACTCTATATAAAAAAAAGATACGTAAAATTCTGAAGATATAATATCCACCATCATTACGTATATAGATGACTAGTTATTTAGTATTATTTTGTTTATGGTCTAACGCATAATTAAACAATTTAAATATTTAATGAAATAACCGATAATATTCCTGTTGAATTGACTTGGATGAAATTGGCAAAAACATAGTTTGAAGACATATCAAAGATAGACACATAATATAGGTACTATCTTTACATAGTAAATTGTCGTAGAAAAATTAGGATGTATTGTAAAATTCATGGAAATATCAAAGAGTCATATATTTAATTAAATCAACAAAGATTTATTTTAATAAGCTTGTTTTGATAAAATACTAATTTGTAACAATAATTGTTCAAATTATTGTCTCCCTTTTTACCGATAAGCTGACCCGAATTGCCAATCTGGGCGTTCGCGTTGCTAGAAGACGGTAACCATTTATCATCATGTGGGCCGTTTGTTATTTCAAGTTTAATAAGTTAATAAAATAATATTTGAATTACTACTATATGTTTTTAAATAAATATTCAAATTGTTACCTTACAGGAAAGAAATATAACAGCTTGCGGTATCGGTAGTACGACTAAGATGGACAAACTGGTGTTGGTTAGCACAGTTCTAGTCGCGGCGCTGACCTATCTCAAGCACTCCCGATGACCACTCCTCGATGATCACATAAAATACATATTTGTACCTTTGTTACTTTCGCAATAAAATTGTTGCACCTTTAGTTTGAACTTTTATTTTTATTTAAATTCTCTGTGCGAGTGATAGAGCAGAATAACATAATAGGCTTTTTTATATCTAAGAGTATTATGTTGTAAGAGGCAACTAGAGGAACAAAGCAAGAGAATAAAAAGAGAGTGAAAAACTTACCAATTTTTTTTTTGTTATAATGCATTAAATTGAAATAAACATTATGTTTCAAAATAATTTAATAGTTTTAGTGGTATAATTAATACAAGGTAAATTCAATAGTTACAGAGTAATTTTAAAAACAGGTCATCGTAGAAGTTTATCTAAATTTCATTTATCAGTTTATAACGTTATTGAGAAGGAAAAGATTGCAATACAATTATTGATACTTTTTAACAACTTCATTCTAACTCTCCGGTTATTGTAAACATCGTTAACAGATCTGATTAATCTAAAAACAGCAGTGCGCTCACCCTCTGAAATGTTGTATTCTCTAATATTGATAGAAACATCTAAATATTAAACTACTCACGAACTGAAAACAAGAGGGTAGATAGTGTTCTAGCGACATCCTGACCTACTGATAGTAGGGTACAAATCGATGCGTTCTGCAGGTAAACGTGTGAATCCACTTGTTATACCTACTTGTGGAGTACACTGAAATAAAGAGCTCAAAGCAAAGCAGTAAAGCCGCGCAAGGGGAGCAGTGCGCATGTCTACAGCCCAGGCCTGCGCTCCACATTTTTAATTCGCTGTTATCAGTGTGCAGTGTACATTATAAAATCTGAAATAATAACTAGATTATTATTATTATCCGCAATTGATAAGTAACATGTTTGTCAATACGAATAGGAACTCAATTTTTAGATAAATCATATAACGTTAGGGGCCAAATTAGATTAAGTGTTCTGATGTGCAAGCGTATTGGGAAATCCGTATTACTGCTGCTTCTCCTGTCTTTGGACTCGAGGGATTGTGTTGCGAGTCCTAACAATGAAGGAAAAATACTACTTAATTCGTAAGTACTATAGTTCTAAATATTTTTTTAGATTGTGTGTAATCTCTAAACTTAACGGAATTCGTAAATATTTCTAGATAAAACTAGGCTGTGTTCCTCTATCAATGTAGGAAATGAAATTTAATGCAATTATGGATTTTGAATGCTTATTAACGATATAAATATAAAAATGAGTTTGTTTATTTGTACGATACGTTTTAGCGCCTTAATAGCTTAACCAGTAGTCATGAAATTTGGTATACATATTATATTGGATGGTCAATTGTCATATTCCGGTCACGCTGACAAAGTCGCGGGAAAAAGTTAGTTCAATATAAACTTAAACTAAAAACACAAGTGCTATCTAATATTTATTAATGTATTTACTAAGTTATTTTGAGTATTAGAGTAAGAAAATATTTATTTGTAGCGTTCAAGCGTGGGCAGTTAAACTCGGCACTGAATTGTATCATTTTGGGGAATTCATCACCAGGAAGAAAGAGGTACAAGAAGTAAGTATATACTCGAAAGGTGACGAAATATTTTTTTTTTTTTTTTTTATACCACTGAGGTGGCAAACAAGCATACGGCCCACCTGATGGTAAGCGGTTACCGTAGCCTATGAACGCCTGCAATACCAGAGGTATTACGCGCGCGTTGCCGACCCTGAAGAAACCTCTTTACCCCCCTTTTGAAGAACCCCATGCTGTAGTCTCTCGGGAAAACCTCGGCAGGGAGCTCATTCCATAACCTGAGTGTTCGTGGGAGAAAGCATCTCTGAAACCGCGTTGTACGCGACCATTTAGGCTGTAAGGTATGAGGGTGAACTCCCTGCCGATGGCGAGCCGTACGATGATAGAAAGTTAAGATACACATTATTTTAATATGAATTATACTAAGTAGGTAATCGAAGTTAACATTTTACTAGCAGTTTATTACCACTTTCTATGTTAGTTATCATAATTTTGAAAACAAATGTTGGAACAATAAAAATAATAAATAAATTTATACTTAGTTGTCATTGCACATTTGAATATTTAGCGGATTTTAAAAGATTGGACCTAACGATTGCAAGGATAACTTTTTTTTATTAAAGTGTAAATTAAATATAGAAAAAAAGGTTATAAAGAGATATTTCTTACATCTGTTTTAAACATTCAATAGATTAGCTTTAACGAGATGGTTTGAGTTTATTCTTTCATTTTTGTGATTTCAAAAAGGAAGAAATATTTTTGTTTAATTTTGTTCTGAACGTATTACCCTTATTTTTAACTATTGCATGGATGTTCTTATTCAAAGTATACCCGGTATAAAATTACCGGAAATTATTAGGGCAGTTAAAATGAGAAGAAATGGGTTATGTACGATTGACTACTTCTATAGGAAAGAGGAAGAGACAGCGAGAAAAGGTGGAAGGAATTAATAGGTTTCGGGTCGATAAATCCAGAAAAATATGTTAGATACCGTTTTTTTAAATGAAATATTTTTCGCACCTGTTGTGATGTTATCTTTAATTTATGTAATTATTTTTAAAATCGATAGTGTTTTCTTTCGTTTTAGTTCTATGATAATTTCAATTTTTTTTTTAATTTTTTCTCAATTGAAGTAGCTGTCTTCTTTTAACAACAAAATCATTTGCTGGATCCGTTGAATGCACCCGTATGCATATACTTAATAATTTGCTAACATATTAATATTTAAATAACTATTTGTTTATTTATCCAGAGCTTCAAATCAGCTCAGATAGAATCAAGAGATGGAGAAAAGTTAGTTCAAAGTATGGCAGATGATATACGGGCTATGATGGAACTCAAAATTAGTGCTGTTAAAAGAATAGTAGAAGCAGCAGAAAATATGGCATTTGATAAGCAAAATGAGCCGGTACCTGAAGACTTTCAATTTTATAATAGTAAAGAAATGGAAGAACCTTATGATGAAGTTTCGATCACAACTACTCCAGAAACAGATTTCGCTCTTGAAAATTGGATAGCGCGACCACCAACGAAAAATGCTTATCTCTATCAGAACCCCCATTTTTCAAACATTCCAGTAAATATAAATTTTAGTAGTGTACATGTGCCGACGAATGTATATGCCTGGGGTAAGTCCAGAATTTGATGATGAAAATTACAAAGACGTTAAATACAAAATTACGTGGACACCTAACATATATAATTAAAATGTTGCAGCACCTGAAGTTATCAAAGGTATACATTGGTCAGAAGGTTTAGATACACATTTTATAAATAATTACCAAAGTGACCCAACACTTTCATGGCAATATTTTGGCAGTTCCACTGGATTTATGCGACATTATCCAGGTAATGGGCATTTTATAATATTAATATAAAATTATTTCCAAAAGTTTATAACTGACACTGAAAACTATTTTATAGCTATGAAATGGAGAGCAGATCCTGTCGATATTTATGACTGTCGAACAAGAGCTTGGTACATGGAGGCAGCCGCGAGTCCTAAAGATGTAATAATTCTTGTTGATCGTAGTGGGTCAATGACTGGTCAGAGAAGGGATATAGCTAAGCACGTGGTGACTAATATTTTAGACACGCTGGGGAATAATGATTTTGTTAATGTAATGACTTTTGCTGATACTGTAGAGGAAATTGTACCTTGTTTTGAAGATTCACTAGTACAGGTAGGAAATCTAATTGATATTTTACTTTTTCTATATAACTATTTATATTTTTCTATTTTTGGGACAAAAATTCTATAATAATAAAGAAATTTCACATTTTAGGCAACTTTAGGAAATCTACGTGAGCTAAAATTAGGTTTAGATAATTTTGAAACTATGGAGATAGCAAATTTCTCAGCAGCACTGACACGGGCTTTTGAACTTCTAGAAATCTATAGAAATAATAGCGGCGGGGCCAACTGTAACCAGGTATTTTGAATTACTATTGATGACTTCTAATACGTACACTGTTTACAGAAAATCTCAACTTTTTTTTGTTATAGGCAATAATGCTGGTAACAGATGGCGTTCCATATAATTATAAAGAGATCTTTGAGAAATATAATTGGAAATATGATACTCCAGTGAGGGTGTTCACATACCTGATAGGGCGAGAGGTAAAGGTAGTACCACTCCAGGTATTACTGTGTGTTGTAGTCATTGTGCAACCTGCATAATGCCTTTCCTTCGTATTTACCTACCAGTACACCTAGAATGTGGTACTCTCTTCTGTCTCTATAACATATTTGTGACTTGTCAACAACGGTAACCGATGCATGTGACATTGTGATCGTTGACATTGTCTTATAACTTTTCTTCCATCTTCATGACGCTTTTGCTTAATAGTGCTTAGTTTTGTGTTTATGTTAGAATAAGAGCATGTATCTAAAAATATAATTATAGATAGATGGGTTTGCGTTTGTTTCTGTCCAAGTAGATACAATTATCACTTTTCTTATATTAATTTATTGTATTTGTTTGTATGGAAAATGATAGTATATTTTGTCCTGATCTTAAATGCGCTATAATAGTTATATTTTAATATTAATTTAAATGAGCTATTTCTACTCACAAAGCTGCTGAAGAACATTTAGACACTATGTAGGTATAACATACACAAGGCACTACCATTATGATCTACTCGTATTTAGAAATCATCGTACATATGACCAATGATGTTAGTATTACGTAATATCAGTTAGATGGGCTTTAGGTGGCGGATGTGAGGGAGGTGAAGTGGATGGCGTGTGCTAATCGAGGCTACTATGTCCATCTGAGTACGTTGGCTGAAGTCCGGGAGCGAGTGCTGGAGCATGTAAATGTCTTAGCTCGTCCACTCGTATTACAGAGAGAGAAACATCCTGTTGTATGGACACCCGTTTATGCAAATGTCACGGTAAGTGAATTGTTGATAAAATATGTAACTAACTATTTGTTATTTTATCAAATAATACATATATATATTTTGAATAGGATCCAAAAGTTGCGGACTATCTCTGGGAACAACGTGAAAGAGCAGAGCAAAAAGAACGTTTTATGAGTCAGCGAAGAGACAAAGCTCTTTTTAATTCCGAAAAAGAACAAGATCGTCGATGGCGAATTACTCAGGTATTTATTCTTACTAATATTATAAATATTATTATTATGCGTGGTCCCGGTATAGAATAGGCCATCCCTTCCTATCCCGTGCATGTCGTAAGAGCCGACTAAGGGAGGGCGAGGGACGGGGAGCAGCATCCCTCTTAAAACATCTCTAAAGCCTGACTGCGGTTGCTAATCCGTCTGATGTGGCAACTACTAATAAAACCCACTGACCGGGAAGTTTATGTTTAGCAGTGGACAGTTAAAGGCTGATATGATAATGATGAACATTATAAATGTGAAAGTGAGTTTGTTACCTTATAGCGCTTAATGGCTTAATCGATCACTATGCAATTTAGTGTACGCGTACTACGAGTATACGATATGATATGGGATGTAGAAGGATGTAGGATATTTTTATCCTAGTCAGTAAACATATCCTGGTCACACAGACTAAGTCGTGGCTAAAAGCCAGTAGTATATTTTGAGAGTTTCGCAAACGAATATTGAACATTAAATTGTTTTTAATTAATAAGGCTTTATAGACTGTACCTATAGGATTTTACTTTTTTTTAGATGAAACAAGGACAGTATAGTGAACTTGGAAACTCTCAATATCAACTAATGACGTCTGTATCTATGCCAGTCTATGACCTTCGACACAACGAGGTATGTTACACTTTTAATATAAATATATTTTTATTATTGAATCTCCCCCCAAATATATAAATGTTTCAAGTTTTTTGAGAACAATATCTAAATTTGCTATCTCCTTATAAAACGTAGTTTTTATATTTGAATATTTTCAGAAAACTTGATTAATATAAAAAATTATTAAGCTGAAATTATTTCCAAAATTCTAAATCTGTAACTGTGCATGTGAAAAAGATTGCCTTTGTCAAGATTGTGTTTACAGATTGGTTTAACATTTCCTACTAATTGGACGTAAGCCCTCTCTTTACTATTTTAATCTATACTATCTAATCTTTTGCTTACTTGTGAATATTTTTTAATAATATTCCGTTTTGTTTGATGGTTTCCCCTCAGAACATCACAGAGAATGTACTGATAAATGAAGCTTATTGGGTATCAGTTACAAAAGAGGTACTACACTTAGAAAATTTTGATGATTTAATGTAAAGTTTTTGCAAGATACAAGAGAGTTTTATGATTTAGTTTTTTGGATTTCAGTAACGGTAAAGTCTTATTTGGCCCCGTTAGCGATGCATCTGTCCTCGATAGATGTTGACTGCGCCCAGCGGCGGCGCGCTCCTCACTCTGCCGATTGATCAATGTGTTGTTCAACCCTTATGGCTTACTGTAGTGTTGTAGTTTTCTCATAGATTGTAGGTGTAGACCACTAGGGTGTTCAACTTTTCTATCAATTATCAAATTAATTTTTCTATGCAAGAGTTATTAACTATTCCACTACACACACTATCTAATAAAATACAAAGTATTTTTGCCTGAATTTAGTGATGTCTTCGTAGAGACATTTTTAAAGATTGATATGTTATTACAAGAAGAAAATGTAAATATTTTAATAAGAGTATCGTGCAGCCCGAGATGTGACTCGTTTGGGGCTTTTGCTACTTGAGCATCTATTGAGTTTGAAGTACTATCTTCTTCAGAATGATAACATTTTTAATATATACATTTTATTATTCATGACGTTTTCTCTCCGAGAGAGGAAACATTTTGTTTTCTAGTGGAAGTTATTACAATGCATTTATCTATATGTTATTACGTTTTATTGCATTCGTACGTCCACAACCAATCGCAGTCCGTAGAGGAGAACGGCCAGAAGGAGGTAGGCTCACGAACTTATAGAATACTTAACACATGTGGTGATGGATAATTGGTGATGAACGAGTTCGCCTGCGCTGTGACACTGCAATCATCCACAGTAAAACAATAATTGAAATCAATTATGCACATAATTATATAAAAGATTTATTTCCATTATTTGGAAATATACCTATTGCTACAATATATTTTAACAGTCAGCATGATGAAGAGCTTCGTATATTGGCAAAATTATTACAATATCATCTGGTTTTACTAGCAATCAAAAGTTAAACTGAAACACATAACATTTTCACATCATGTCTTTGTTTTTAATAAATATAATGTTAACAGATTGATACAAGGATCCCTTGCAAAGGTTAAGAGGCCTAGCTACAACAGAAACGGTAGTCGGTTTCTAGAATTTAAAGTGTAGTACTATAATTTAATACCATTAAAATATGTAATCTTTTGTAGATTTGCTAGAACCTGTAAATGTGAATAATATAAATTAGAATCCTTATAAAACGTAGTTCTATATATGATATATAGAACTTCGCCTAACGGGGCGTAGATGCTAAACAAAAAGTAATTATTGCTATACGACTAAGCAAAGTTTTACATAATTATAATTAGTCTAGTATACGATGGCTACTACAGTGCCAATTTGAACGAGTAGTTAGTTTAATTGTTGACTGTTTAATCAATAATCATAATTAATGATAAGTATATTTTTATATTGTCATGATCATTTTATAATATATTTTAGATTAGAATTCATATCGTTTGATGTAGTTAATAGATTTATTCATTAAGTATATTTAAATATAATTTAAAATATAGTTTTCATAGTGAAACAATGTCTGAGAATATAACTTATTTGTGTTAGCATTATATCATCATAGTCGTAGAATACTGACGGATCTGACGAATATTACATATAAAGATCCATCAGTATTCTATGACTATGACGATATGTGAAGTGCTGTATCAATTGTAATAAATTTCAATGTTTTCAGATGCGTATAGCTAGGTTATTAGGTGTAGCTGGAACTGACGTGCCATTATCGGAGATACAAGCTCTAATGACACCTTATAAGGTAAAAGTATATATTAATACATATAATTAATGTTTTATTTTTTTGGTGTTAATTATCTATTAATTTATTTAATTCTTTATTGCATCTTATTATTACTGTTTAACTAAAATATAATGTTTATTGTTTTTAGATCGGAGTAAATGGATATGCCTTTATAGTTACCAATAATGGATATATATTAATACATCCAGATCTGAGGCCCGTGGTATGTATGTTTATGGTTTTATATATGTTTAGGTAGATATTTATAAGTAGTAGGATTACCCAATTTATAGATTACCATAACATTGCAATAATAATGTCTGTCCTAACATAAATAAGAGCTGTGATCACTTAACGACCCCACTCGGAATTATTCGACAAATATTAACCTGCTAGTACTACCAGAATGTGTATGTTTGTTTTTTCTGTAAATAAATATAGACAGAAAATATAAGAGTATATAACAAAGTTACCGATTTTTTTTTGTTGACGGGTGAAAATGGAATGGTAACCCCGCTTGCGTTATTGGGATACGCTGGCGGAGCACCAGTGAAGGGTGATAGATGAGAATGAAAACAGGCCAGTTAGCCCATCATGATGAATTCATCAGGAATTAACCATGATCGTTTCCAGGGGGAGCCGCGAGGAGGTCGACCTGGTTGGGTATATTGCTAGCAATGGGATTCTTAGTCTCCATTACTAACAATCCCTTGCTCCCCTGCCGATTTATTAAGCGTTAGGGACACGGCGACTGCTACAGGGTCAAAAGGTTAAATAGACGATAATAGGTGGTAAGATTCGTTATCCTTGGATCTAAATAGATCTATAGACCCGCCATAAACTAAAATTTCATCCCAACCATCTGGACAAGTGGCGGTCCTCCACCATGCGTTTTTCAAGGCACTTTCTCCCACGCACAACCACTCTTTGGAATCAACTTCCAGCAGCAGTATTTCCGAACCGATACGACAACATAACCTTCAAGAAAAGAGCATATTCCTTTTTAAAAGGCCGGCAGCACACCTGCAATGCCGTAGGTGTTGTGGGTGACCATGGGCGGCGGTAGTCACTTACCATCAGGTGAGCCGCATGCTCGTTTGCCCCCTGTTGTAAAAAAAAAAATCTAAAAATAGTGCAGTACATTAGTGACTTTATGTTAGAAATTCATAATACTATACAACGCTTATCTACATTAATAGATATTTTTTTTACAGTTTCAACAAATTCTGAAGCCGAGTTACAACAGTGTAGATATGATAGAAGTCGAATTATTTGATGACGATCGGGGGCCCAGGAATTTCAGCAAGGAACTAACAGCGGTAAGACGAAGTCAAATTAAACATAAATAGATACTTAATAACCCAAAATAAATATATAGAATACTCGTATATTCTTGAAAATAATTGTTACTACAATTATAAAATATATATTTGTCGTGCGGTCCCGGCAGAATGGGTCGCCCCTTCCTACGTGGGTGTCGTAAGAGGCACCTGGGGGAACTTAATGGTCGGGGACCTCTTAAAATATCACCAGGGCCTAACTGCGGTTGTCAGCCCACCTTCCACTGGCAAAACCTCTCAATAGGGGCAGGCCTACGTTCGCCAGTGGACAGTTAAGGCTGATATAACTATGATAAAGAAAATTATAAAACTACTCCTTCGAAAATTTCTGACAACTCTAATTATCTTAAAAACGCATTGATGTACTTACTTGATTGACCAATGCACGTACATTTAGTTGCGGCTTCTAAACATGATTCTTCCTCCAAAAACTAAGTTAGTTTAATCTTTTTTTATTCGTTAAATATCTTTATGCTCTTCCGGATCATTGGTTATTTGATTATTATTATTTACTTTAAATTCATTATTATATTAACTCTAAAATGAGTCTCGGATTGTTTCTTTTTTCAGCTTCGCAAAGAAATTATAGATCAGAAAACAGGAAATAAAATTATGAATGTGAAATATCACATGGATGACATGGTAAGCACGAATACAACTTTTTCGTTATTATAGACAGCAAAATACAAAATTTTCATTAATTAATTAGATTACTTATCATCAATTATAATGTTTCCATTGATATTATTTTCATTATGGAAATTGGATGGAACTTTATGCAATTTAACTTAAGGGACATTTTTATTTATTTATTCATTAAAATAATTATAACATTACAACAATAAACACCAAATTAATGTTATAATCCTAGTGTAAAATTATAATAAACATACAAAATTATAATAAAGATATTTAACCCGACTCAAGATATTTCTGAGCCGCATCTTATATCTTTAGCAGGCTACTACTGAAAACATGATGTTTATAATATTATTTGATAACTGTGCGCGAGTTAAGGGAGCGTGCTGAAGTAGGTTAGTCCTGACTGGCGGGATATTAAACGTAACCGGAAGACGGCGCGTATTTTACATAACCATTCGGTATTCGCAGTTGGGACTGTCTCTAGCACTTGTGGGTGATGCACCCATCCGCGTAACACACAATATATTTTACGAGAGCGAGATCTCTCCTCACCGCCATTTTTATAAATTTTGTATTACTCTTAGGTGTTACCCCTTAATAAACTGCTGCAGATATTTTATTTCATTCTGTAACTTTTGCCGGTCAGATAATTTTTTTTTTTTGTATATACACAGAAAAGGGTGTCTCGTGCCAAAAAGCATTACTTTTGGACTGGCATCAGCGACTCGCCATTCACCCTCGTGGTCACCATCCCGGAGAACTATGGTCGCCACCGAATAACACCGCCACCTACCGACGACATCCATCGACTTTCGCTCACGTCCAAAAACATATCGGCTCGCCAGTATTTGTCTGACAAATGGAGCGTACACCCTGATTGGTAAGTATATCTTATATAGATATAGGTTATTTGAGAGATTCTTTGATGAGAATTGTTCACATTTAACAAAAATTTATGTTCTTTTATTTATACTCGTAGTAAACTATTGTATTGTATATTAAATTATTTATTCAATGTGAATTATGTACAATAAAGATTTTACAATACAAAACTAGCTACCTGACTGGGCTTCAGACAGATGCATTGAATTAATCTATTAAAATTTAATAAGGATCTATAGTAGATACAAATTTGTCGGAAAATACAATATTATAGACAGTTTTATAGACAGCTAAAGCCGATTCATGCGCGATTTTTAAAAAAGTGACTTTCTCTTACATTATTTAAAGATTTCTTAAAAGTTTTATTTTGTAAACCATTGACTTAGATATCTACTAATTACAGGTTATATTGCCGCCACTATGAGCGCACATTCTCTACGCCTGAAGAAGAGTTATTGTATTTCTTGGAAAGGGTCGCAAAGCCTGGTTGGCGGTGGCCGGCGAAGCCTAGACCTCCAGAACACCATAAAAATAAGCCTGGACATGAGAGGCACAACAATGGTAACGTATAAATATTATTAAGGAGCTAATTATATAAAAAACATATCTACATATATACAGCATACAGATATTTATACAATATAGGCGTTTTGTGCAAAAAATTTTTTTTCACCGCATAATTACATTTCTGTTTCGCCAAAGGTTGACTGGGAGAGAATGTTATATTGTGTTAAGTCCGCCTTTTGTAGCAAACATTTTTTATGATGTGGTAAATAAAGAATAAATAAATAGGTATGCCTACACAAATTTATCAAATAATTCTTTATATCAATTATTATCAAATAATAATTGAGTGTATTATAAATGTTTTATTATTTAATAGGAACTCCAGAAAATAAAGAGCGAAATAAAGTTTCAAACAGTACTCCAAGGAATGAATATTATTGTAAGTATAACCATAGATAAAGGATTCTTTTAACTATCATCATTATTTTTACAATACACGTATATCTTTATAGTATCTCTAAGTATATGACATTAAAATTATTAACTATATTTTTTTAATTAACAATTATGTGATAATTCGCTTTTAATTGGCATGTGTGATAAAAATCTGTAGCATATATTTGCTAAAGAATTTTGTTTGAAGTCAACTTACTGACTTCTACTACAATTAAACATTTTGATCATTCCGCGAATATCGTTCAATGTTCCTATCGTATTACTTATGGCATCCTTTAATTATCTTTAAATAACTGTCGAGTGCCATGCCAAATAAATGCCGTGTGGTCCCGGTATAGAATGAGCCATCCCTTCTTTTTCCGTGGGTTTCGTAAGAGACGACTAAGGGAAGGTGAGATATGGCTCCCTTTTAAAACATATCCAAAGCCTAACTGCGGTTGCCAAGCGTAGCATCTGTTGGCAAAACGCCCCTATGGTGAGGCTTATGTTCAGTGGTAGACAGTTAAGGGCAGATATGATGATGATGATGATGATTTATACAGTTTGATAACTTTAAAATAATGCAGTGTTTATTACGGATAATAGGTGATCACGGGTTGATGCAAGCACTGGTATATGATGCCAGAAACACAGCCTGGTTCAACAAAAGCATATCAGACTCGGCTTCTGAGGAAAAGGCGTAAGTTGTTTATTATTATTCTCATTTTATTAATTAAATATGAGTAGGATTTTCTAAACGGCAGTCCTTAATTTGCATATATATGTTTAATACGGATTTTTTGGCAATGGCAAATATCAATTCTAGAAGTACTCTTCGTTATATATCGTATTCGACATTATAGGTAAATTTTGCTGTGAATTGACTTCCGTTTATAAAAATGTCAAACTTTCCATAGGAGAAAATAAAAAAAAAAATAGAATTTAGTCCACTTGTTAGTAGGCATAGTGAATACCAGAGCAAATAGGTAAAATAGAAATACTTTATCATAATAAGGTTACCACTTTGAAATGAACCGTTGTTTGTCATTATAAGTTCAAAAAAAAATATTTATTTTATTAATATTAAGCCATATTAGTATTTTTGTTTCTTTATGCACTAATTGATCTTGCACGTTCGTTTCATTTTACTTTGGCCTGGATAGCCCATTGACAAAAGTGATTGGATTATTGCCGAGGTAAAGTACTTCATTTACGAAGGAACCTTTGATAAATATATGTAATAAAAAAAGTAAAATTTTTATTGTGTGATGTGGTTAAAAAAAGAATGTCAGAAATGTTTAAAATACATATGTAATTACTGGTGTACATAGGTAGCAGGTACTTACAATTTTATAGGCTGCGGTAACCACTTACCATCAGGTGGACCGTATGCTTGTTTGCCACCTCAGTGGTATAAAAAATATATATATAAATTCAGAAATGTATTCATAAATTCTATGTAATAAATATTATTCAGTATTTTTTATTGCTCTAATTCTATACAATAAATTTAAAATATATAAGTTAGTATTAAGTAATGTATCGGAGTTTTGTTAATATTCAAATTAACAATGTTAATGTTACTTTAAATAGTATTACCATATATCTTTTTATATAAACTTACACGCTTAACCTAAATTTATTGTGTATTTTCTTATTGTAAATAAATAATAATTTGAAGCAATCCAGGACCGTAAGTATGTTATTTAAAATTATAATATTTTGCTGCCAATGGAAGTGTAAGTTTATTATATTGTAATATCCGAATATGTAATCCAATACATACATACATACATATCTGTCACGCCTGTCTCCCATTAGGGTAGGCAGAAACAATGGAACGCCAAAAGCTTCGATTCAAACAAACCTCTTTCGCTTCTTCCACATTCATCAATCTTTTCATACATGCTCGCCGATTACGGGTACTTTTAATTTGGCCCTTCTTCAGCACGTCGCCTATTTGGTCGACATACGTCCGTCTAGGGCGACAATCCAATGTATGTGTAATATAGATAGATAGATAGATACTCTTTATTGGTTCGTCCAAAAGATTACAATAGTAAACTTATTATAGATACAAACAATTACAAGATAACAATTACATTAAATTCTATTTAAGTACATGTATTTACAGTTAATTCACGTGGTCACTGCGCGAATTATAATAAAGAGTATCCATTGTATTAATCTAGGATACCTAATAGTCTGGGTCTACCATAGTTGTTATTTAAGCGTGCTTGAGTATCAATTGTCTACAGACTTTGATATTATAGTTAAGTATAGTTTATATATTTTTCATATTAACATAGGATAGATACTTTTGGCGTACATGGGAATAGCCATGGGTTACAGTAATCTAAATAAACATTGAGTTTTGTAGTAGTCTCTACAAAATTAACTTAGTACTTGGTAACCTAGAAGAAATTTAGTTTTATCCACAAATATACTGATCAGTATACCCAAACTTTACATACATGACTAAAGACCATTTTGAATGAATACTTGCATCAGAATGGTTTGGGATCACAGTGTCCATTAAACAAACGTGGTGTTTATATCAAATTAGTCTTTTGTTTATTCAGATTTTAAAATCTTCCGTTTTTGTCGTCTACAGAGCGGAGTTTATTCAGCGCTTTGGGTACATCGTCGCATTCCTGTCCACTCACAGTGGGCTCACACGTTGGCAGACCCATCCACCGAAGGAGCATGATAATGACAGGTTCGATATAGTTTTATACCTACCTCTAATAGTAAAGAATGTATAAAATTTATAAAATGCACATATATATACAAATGTGCTTACCAATGTTGCATAGTTAGACAAACGAGTGAAAATCTATTTCTTAAATAATATTAGAATCCCCTCGTCATTTTTCTACTATCAAAACATTTATCTATACCAGACTTACCAGAGGGAGACTTTGTACAAGTCGTTTGCTTGGGCACCTCTACCCATTCGTGTTTCTACCGTGAAGGAGTTGTGTTTGCATGGCTGTGTTTCGATTTGAAGGGTGAGCATGTGGCAGTGAATTTACAAGGCGCAGAGGAATAACACCCGAGTCCTCAGGAATAGCAACGCATGGGCGGTATCATGGACGAAACAGTATACTTTGTTATGTTCATGGTACTGGTTATATCTATAGGCGACGGTTACCACTTTCCATCAAGTGGGCCGTCAGCTTGTTGAAGCTGAAGCAATAAATCGATTACGAGAAGTTTAAGCTAATCATACTCTTTTTTAATTATCCAGACCAGAATTCGGAAAACAATGGCCAAAATCCATAGACGAGGTATGGTACCGTCGCGCTGTAGAGCAGCACTATGTGGATCCCTTGAGTTATGTATACAGCGTGGAATTGAGCACAGAGAAGTTTCCGTTGAATGTGAGCACGGCGGTGGTGACCGCGTCACACGCAGTGTTCCACAGTGACGGGCATAGGAAGGCTCCTGCCGCTGTTGTAGGCTTTCAGTTCAAACACGAGCGGCTCAGTGAATGGTTCGAGAATATAACATCATCGGTAAGTAGATATTTTGAAATAATTATTAAAATACTAGCTTCCACCCGTGACTTCGTTCGTATAATCGAGATATGTTCACTGATTGGGCTAAAACGTAGCCTGTCTTTCTTTATCGCCTATAATTATACAAATTTAATTTAACAGCTTAACCAATGAAATTTGTATAAAACAGTGATGTATTGAGCCGCTAAGATGCTACGTGGTAAGAAACAAAGAAATTTACTTTAATATTCATATATATATATATATATATATATATATATATATATATATATATATATATATATATATATATATATATATGTATATATGTATAATAAATATGTTTATTATTATTTAATATTTTGTAATATGTTACACACATGAGGGAGACTTTGTACAAAAGTCATCTGTTTGGGTACCTTGCATTTCGGTTTGATATTTTATTTCTTAGGCAGAATATTTTAGTTCTCAAGAAAGCCAACGCATGATGGGTATCATGGGCGATACAATATACTCTGTTGTGTCCATGTTACTATTTGTGTCTGTAGGCGACGGTTACCGCTTCGCCGAGCATCAGCTTGTTTGCCATTCTAAGTCGCATAAAAAATATTAATAAGGATTTATTTAACACTCGCAATGTTAAATATAATGATGTGTGGGCATATCTATTCTTTCTCCGCTTCGCCTTATCACACTTCGTGTGTATATATTATTATAACACCCAATATTTTTCAATTTCAGTGTGAACACAATAAAGAGTGTGTGACGTGTTTATCTGATTCGTGGGATTGTTACTTGGTGGATAATAACGGATGGATCATAGTCAGTGAAGACTCCAATCAAACTGGACAATTTTTTGGCAAGGTCAGTTTTGTTTATTATAATATAAAGAAAAGGAAAATGAAAGAAACTAATATGAAGTATACAGAAAAGTGGTTGTATCCTGAGTATAGCAGTAAACAGTTAATTAGCAGAAGAAAGGAATAACCAATATGGCCCACTAATGGTCTACCTTGACTCCGCATTTTTTTATGAACAAAAATGTATATAACCTTACTGGCTTATATTGTAGCTTTCTATATTCAATGTGAAAGAATAATTCAAATCGGTTAGTTTTTGAGTTTCTCTATTACAAGCAAATATATGTATAAAAAATGAAATCTTTCCTTCATATATTAGTTTAGATAGACATAGAAGTTTTTTTATTTTTTTCATCTATTATTTTATATTTTTTAAAAATTCAGTCGCTTACGACTTACGCGGTGTCGTATTCTAAATTAGCTCGACAAAGATACCAGCCTTGGACAATAATTACGCAAAACGTATTATATCAAACATAGCATTAAGATGTTATCAATTTTCGTAATTCCAATTTTCTAAAATTTTTTGTATCAGTCGTTTTTTTTTAATGGATGATAATGGAATGGTAAGCCCACCCGCGCTATCGATATATACCGGGGGGTCCCAGTGAAGGATGATAGGTGAGGATGAAGTAGGTCAGTTAGCCGATCGTGACGAATTCAACAAGAATTGTTCACGATGGTTTCCAGGGGGAACCACGTGAAGGTCGACCTAATAAGGCATATTGCTAGCAATGGGGCTGTCAAACTTCATTGCTAACAATCCCTTTCCCCTTGTATCAGCCATGGCCTATTCTATGCCGGGACCTACACAATGTACAATATCAAAGTTGAATACAATTTTCTAAATATTCTTGGTATATTCCTATTCATTATAAAATTAGTAATGTAGATATAGATGCAAATTCTTTTATTTATATAAAAATTGCATGTTATTTCAGATACGACCAGACATCATGACGGCGCTGATAGAGGATGACGTCTATAAACCGGTACATTTAGTGGACTATCAGGCAGTTTGTTTTAGGGAGAAAAAGACTACAAATCCAGCAAGCATGTTACTAACGGTTAGCATTAAATTCTAGTCATTTTAAATTCAAGTCATTTATTGACGTAGATTTTTTTAAGTCCTTGTACATGGTGTTATTGATGAATCTTTATTTGGCAGCCATTAGAGAATTTGCGCTTGGTAATGGCATGGTTCTTAGCGACGACAGTTTGGTTCTACAACTCTATTGCAACTGGATTGGCGCAGGCGTCGAGTTATTCTTTTGACGATGGTAAGTCTACGTACATGTATGTAATGTTTAAAAACAAGAACATGTTTAATTAAAGAAGAATATGGATTAGTTTATTTATAATGTGCAATGTAAACTATGATATACGCATTCGATGTTGCACACAACGTTGTCAGCATGATCTGTTTATAATGATTAACCAAATTAAATACAGTGCTGTTAGAAAAAAAAAATGTGTCAGAAAAATCAATGTTTTTGTGCATGCTGCAAAAATTAATAAAAAAAACACATAATTATTTAGGGAATTATTAATTAACGAAAGTATTAAAGCTAAATCAATGTTATTGGGTATATATCTATAAATGTGTGTCAACATAGATATGTGTCTATATTAATCAAAGTAGACTTACTGTTAACAGGTAAACTTATATATTTATATAATTAAGAATTTATTACACTAACACTAATGGGTGCATGCGACAGCCCCACACAAGCGAACGACACACAAAATTACTTAGATGACCACCAGTAGTGACGCAAATTTGAACTATGGAGTCCACAATTGGTCGTAGTGACTGTTTGAACTGTAGTAACGACTCCATCTTGTTTTCAGAGTTTGTTACAACCACCGGTGAGTTCTATAACGAGCACAGTAGTAAACCCCGTGATAATTGCAAAATTGCAATTACGTGTAGATTGTTCCTTTTACCTCACATTTCTACTAAAACAGTCTGCATAAATTTGATAAGCATGATTTATATACTTATATATTATATACTCGTATTTCGATCGTTACTAGTAACTTGTGTAAACCCTGTATTAGTTAGAACGTGTTATAAAATGAATTTGCATGTAGTTTCCATAGGTACTTTTAATACCAAATAATCCATATAAGAAATCTTGCTTATTTTTGCTTCTAATCAAAATCAACGTTTGTACTATGTAAAGTTTACGTTTCCATTTTTTCCTATGGCAATTGTGATGACAAACGTAATTATTAGATATATTAGATTCTTTTTTTAAAAATAGTGTAAAAAATGTCGAAAAAATAAATCTGCTCCAAAAATCCAATCCAATCTCACTTCTGACACAAGTTATCAGTACTGACTACACGTTGATGAGATTTGGAATGCAATAACATCGGCGCACTTAAAACTAGAAACTGTAGTAATAAATCCACACTTTATTCAACTTTTCTGCATGCTTTTCTTTTGCAATTATACCTTTGAATCTGTGTGTAGGGTAGGTACATTTCTTTTAGTCAACATATTTGCATGTTAAACTATATCCCATAATGTTGTTCTAAACATTGATTTTGTATACAGTATCACCTTTATTGGACGAGGAAGGTGATGAAGGTGATGAAGACTCGTACATGTCCAAACCAACTACAAAGAACGCTGAACGGGACTTCGAAAAATTAGTACTTATTAATAGAACTCGACCTACACCGTGCGACAGAGAGATGTACCTATACCAACTGGACTACAATAATTTGGACGATAAACTTAATAAACCTATGATGAATTGCTCAAGGCCATTCTATGCTCAGTTGGTGAATTATACAAATATGCTAATGGTAGTGGTGAATGGATTGTGTCCCAAAGAGGAAGTATCCATATCAGTGGATCCGACTGAGGTGCAATACAATGAATCGCTACCGTGTCTGAAGCATATGCATCCTCTGTATAGAAAGCAACCTACGTCGTGCATTAGGAACCACACTGAGGTTTGTATATAAATATAAAAAAAAGTAAAAGACAAATTCTATTTTTTTTCCTATAGGGTTTACATATATGTTCTCAGGACAGGATGATAGGTAAATATTAGAACTGAGAGTCATAAGGGAACATAAATATCTTGCAACATTCATATTTATGTCTCATACATACAGACCTTGATTTCTTCGTGAGATAACATACAATATAAGAAATTCAAAATTCAAAATTCAAAAATCATTTATTCATGTAGGACATTTTAGCCGCTTATGAACGTCAAATTTTTACATTATAATTTTTTTTTTGTCCCTGCCGTCCAGTTCGGTATATAGATCCAATTGAGAAGAACTGGCAAGAAACTCAATTGAATTACTTTTTTTTTTAAAGCCAATTTATTTACAATGTATATTTATATAGGTGTCTATGTCTAACATTAAATGAAAATTCAGTGCATGAACAACTATTGCCATGCACACTCGTCATTCAAGTAATCGTTAAGTGAGTAATAGGCTTTGCTCAGTAAATATGATTTAACAGATGTTTTGAATTTATTTAAGGGTAATTCCAACATATCCTTTGGTATCTTATTGCAAATTTTTATACCTATTCCCATAAAAGACCTATTAACTTTTTCTAAACGATACTTGGGGACAGCAAGTTTGTCTTTAAATCTAGTATTAATATTATGAATATTGCTGTTTTTTTGGAAATAAGTCAAGATTTTTATGAACATATAGGATATTTGAATATATAAATTGAGAAGCAACGGTGAGAATATTTGCCTCTTTGAATTTCTCTCTTAATGAGTCACGACTCTTCATACAGTAGATCGCTCGAACGGCACGTTTTTGTAATATGAATATATTCTTAATATCTGCCGCTTTTCCCCATAGTAATATTCCAAAAGAGAGTAAACTATGAAAATAACTAAAATAGACTAATCTAGCAGTATCAGTATCAGTGTACTGTCTAACCTTACGCACGGCAAAAGCTGCTGAACTTAGTTTCGCTGCAAGGATTCCTAGAAAAACAGTAGATTTTATAAATTCGAGAGATTCGTCATTTAATTTAAGATGCGAGGAAATAATTTGTGTCAATATATCGCGTACATACTTTCGCTATGAAGCACTTTTTCCGCACAGTATTTATTTTGCTATATTTGTAATAGCAAAATAAACAAGTTGTGCTCAAGAATTGTTTACATTTCATTCAATGAATACTATTTATGTCTGTAATATTTTTCCTTTTGATGTTTTTTTTTTTTTATTTTAAAACAGTGGAAAATTTTACTTTATTATTGATTTTGTCAACAGGAAAGCAATATCGACATGTGCGGACGCGGCAGTCTCCCTCATAAGAACTTCTATTGGACACCTTTGAGCATCGTGCTACTTCTTCGGTATCTTAACATATAAAATAGCAATCAGGATATCAATATTATGTTATAAATTTTAAATATGATTTTCTAGTCATAAATACAAGTAGGATTTTTGAAAAACAAAGAGAGCAAATTACATAATCAAACTCTGGTACATTTTATTGTTTATATGTTTATAAAATAAAAATATATTTCTTTGAAAAAATATGTTCAATTGAATAGGAACATTTTATTTATATATTGTTTACTATTATAGGTATATAGATTACAAATATAGCAAATTACATGTCATATCCACATATCATTATATCTTATTTATTGAAGAAAGATTCATTTATATTTTATAGTGTTGTTAAGTAATCACTAATAAGTATGCTTTCAGAGTGCCACACGTACGAGGCATTGGGTTCATATCAAAGTTGGGCTATAATTGACAATTTTAGCATTAAATCTATAAAAGAGATGATTCTTGTATAATTATTCACCTATAGGTATACATTAAAATTGTTGTTATAATTCTGGAGTGTATAATGAAAAAGTAACAACAGAAATAATTTATTTAGGATAATTCTAGCTTTTCTAAACAAATAGGCTTTGACAGTGATTACAGATCTCAATTACCTGTTAATTAAGTTGGCAAAACTTTAATTGTATTATTTTAATTCCAGATAATTTAGTATATAAATTTATACATATATATGCGCCGTCCTAGCAATTTTTTAAGCATTTTGGACTGGAGTGATACTTTATATTCCTGTGTGGCAGGTGTTATATTAAATAAAGAAAGATGATAAATTTATGTTATTTATTTTAAATTATATAGTTGTCATATTGGTAATGAAATTCTAGTATTTAGTGATTTGAATCTCTGTCATTTATGTAAGTAGATGTGAATTATTTATATTCAATTGAAATGTGATTATTCATTTGGTACAAATAAATACATATTGAAATTACCAAGGAAGAGTTGTTTTAATCTTTTTAATACTACAATATTATAATACTACAAAACAGTAATTCGAATAAATATAAATATGTACAGAATTTTACTCACAAAGTTATTTTAGCTTTTGTTAGCTGTTTCAGCTTGATACTTCTTGACGAAATCATTAATTTCTTGCATAAGCACCTGGTACCGTTGATGCCTTAATAGTCCTTCTTGGAGTTGTTCCAATTGCTCACCACCCTCCATGAAGGTTTTAAGACTGTGCAAGGTTCCACCACCTTCACGGTGTTCAGTAATACGGTCTTGAGGATAGTTATATGTTCTTATTTTTTCATTTCTGTTACATGACCCAATCTGAAATATTTTTAATTATACATGAAAATATATTATGTACTATAATATGATTATTATGGTTTTCAGCTAATAAAATAAAATCCTGTTTTTAATTGTGCCTCAAGGATTTTTGTAGAGAGCTGACACAGAAAAGGCCTTTCATTGTTTTCCAAATCAAAGATATTAAGATTTATTTTATACTTAATTATAATCTATCTTAATTTTTAGATGTGTAAATTTCTATTTACAAATAAATCTTTATTTTTAATCACAAAAATGTTTATTTAATTTCAGAAATATGTATTTAATAAACTAATAGAAACTCTGAAATTGGTGGTCTGATAATTGAACTATAGAATACAAGCTACAAATTTCAGATTAACAGTGCCTAAATTTTATATTGAAAAAGTACTTTTTTATTATATTTTATTATGTGATGTGCATTGCTGCGAATGTCTATAGATGACAGATATCAATTTCCATCAGGCAGGTTATCAGTTTGATTGCCATTGAAAGAAGTATAAAAGTGAATAGCAATTTGTAAATTGGGTGTAAAGAAAAAATTAAAATTATTTATATACCTGAGATTTCCTCTCGCTATTCATTTTTGAAATTTGTTCATCCTGCTGTGTCTGTAATAAAAGAGTTCTTAGTTTCTGCAGAGCTATCTCTTTGTTTTTTATCTGTGATCGACCTTCTTGGCATTCAACCACTGTACCAGTAGGTATATGTGTAATGCGCACTGCACTATCTGTTGTGTTTACATGTTGTCCGCCCGCTCCACTCGCCCTCTTTGTTTCTATGCTTATGTCTCGATCAGATATATTTAATTCGATTTCAGTTGGTTGGGGCAATACTGCTACAGACACAGTGCTTGTATGTATGCGTCCTCCCTTCTCCGTAGCAGGAATTCTCTGAACACGATGAACACCTGCCTCTATTTTCATTTGTTCAGGCACCCCCAAACCTGTTATCAACATTGATGCCTTTCTAATACCTCCAATATCTGACTTCTCAATAGAAGCAATATCCACTTCCCAATCCTTGTATTTTGCAAATGATTCATACAGTTCAAATAGTTCTCTGGCGAATAACATCGCTTCTTGACCGCCAGCACCAGCCGTTACCTCCAACAAGACTCCACCTTCTGTGAGAATGGGTTCTAGTAATATTGACTGTAATTCGCTATCGATCTCCTTTAGTCTCATTAAATATACTTGAGCTTCTTCTTTGATCATTTTCTTCATTTCGCTGTCATCATTCTCTTTTTTATTTAGTTCTTTCAAAGATTCTATACTGTCGTATAATGTAATACGTTGTTCCAATGCACTCACGATGGGCTTTATTTCGAAAAGTCGCTTCGATTCCTCATGACTTCGGCGTGTTTTCGTATACAGGTTATCATGCTCCATCATCAGATATTTTAAGTAATTCTGCACTGCAGGATCAGATAAATTTACAGTATTCTGTGAATTCCATCGGCGAAATATATGACAGTTTTTACTTATGTTGTTTATCGTACGAAGAAAAGATAATCTTGTAAATGACATGGTGTTACATTTATTTTCGATAAGAATATAAGTAAATAATGTGTAATCAATGAAAAAGAAAACAATAAGCATGAAAATTTCAAGAGACTAGAAGAATGTCAGATTATCAGCTGTTCTGTCAGTGTCAGAAGTGTCAAATAATGTCATTAAGAGAATATGGTGTAGCCAGAAAAAACACCATTCAATAAAAAAATATTTCAAAATATTGCTGTTGGTGATTATCATATAAATAATTATAAATAATATTCTTTAATTAAAGTTAAAAAGTATAATTTGTGAACTGTCGATTTAATTTTATTTCTTATATTACGACGATATTGCCATCTATTATGAAATATAATAAACGCTTTTTTAACGCCATCTGATGTTGAATGGCAATTATTAAGTTGTGTTTAAAAATTAGATGGTGTTAGTTACTTATAGTAAAAATAATTTCACTAAGATTTACATATTTCGAATACTTACATGTAATAATAATTTAATGAAATGAAAATAGATTGAATTAATTTACTATTAAAAGTTTCTGTATATATAGTCACAATACCTGTGTTCCCATATTGTGACGTCCATGATGTCTCAGATCAATATTGCTGTACCTTTCGTATGCTAGCGGCAATATGTGAATGAATATACGACATAATGAATGAGGGCATCAGTATATTCAGTGGTGTTAATAATGTTATTTGTTTTTACAGGCGATATATCCGATTTTCTATAAAGTAAGCCGATAATGTTTTTGCTACGTCACTTAATATAAAAATTAAAACACTTGCATATGAAGTATTATATAGTAAGAGCCTGTAAACGGTAGCTTCCAGTAAATAGTAAGTAGATACTAGTCGCAATCTTCCAAATTGACCTAAGCGGAATTCATTCCAGTTCAAATATTACTTTTACCGAACTGGGTTTCAGGAATGTAAACAGAGTCACACATATATAATATACTAATAAGAAAGCCTATTTTTACGCACTAAGGGCGGTGAAACTAAAACAAAATACTGATAAGGATTGATGCCTTTCGTAATATTCGAAGTGTATGTAGTCTCACTAAAATGACCCGATTCTTCGCCATGCTTGTACAGGTCTTACTCACCGTTTTACCTACATAATTGGTCCAACGCATGAATTATCTCCCCATTTTCCTCCGGCCAGTTCTTGGTCTCCACTCTGCGATCTTAAGGCTCAACGATCACCCTCACGTCTGCTCATGTGGCCTGCCATTTCAACTCAGAAATTACTAAGGCAATGTCTTCCAGTGCGTTTTCGGATTTTTATATTTGGAATGTGGTCAATGAGCGAGATACCTAACATAGCTCGTTCAATTGCTCTTTGCACAACTTGGAGTTTAGCACAGTTTAGTTAAACATAATATTTTTTCACTAAAAATCACAGATTGTGTATCTATTTATATTAAGGACTATAGACATTACCATTATCTTCATATCAGCCGTTAACTGTCCACTGCTAAAGCCTCCCCTTGGGAGGTTTTGCTAGTAGTTGCGACGTTTGGGAGGCGAGTTGACAACCGCAGTTAGGCTTTTAGAGATGTTTTAAGAGGGACGCTGCTGCCCATCCCTCTACTATTAAGTTCCTTTAGTCGCCTCTTACGACACCCACGGGAGAGGTAGGGATGGGCTATTCTTTATTGTACACAAAAGGTTATTGAAATGTAAAAACAAACATAATAGTGCACAAAGGCGAGCTTATCTCCAAAAGAGATTTCTTCCAGCAAACCTAATATGAGAAAACTGACAGTTCATTAGTAGTTACAGTCATACATGTGTACCAATCGACTTAAATGTTATAGTAAAAATAAATAAATAAAATGTATTCTATGCCATGTCTACACGGCAATATATCTATGTATATAGAGTTTGGAAAAACAATATCACAATATTTTTACCTTCATCATGACCTTGTTTATTCTCTTCTTATATTCAAAAATTAAAAAGTTTTATTAACAAAAAGTAAAAAAGTCTAATCATAGTGGGGGAAAGGGATTGCTAGTGACGAGTTCTAATAGCCCCATTGCAAGCCATATTTCCTATCAAGTCAATCTCTACGCGGTTCCCCCTGGAAACTAGGGCGGGTAATTCTTGTGGAATTGTTCACGATGGGCTGACTGACCTGCCTTCATTTTAATAAATCATCTATCATGCACAATCGATATACGCTGTTACCAATCTATTTTTATCCATTAAAAAAACCTTGAAATAGTAGGTTACTTACCGAGTTTACTATTGTATGTGTTCCAAGTCTAGCAAATTACCTGCCTATTGTACATAACGTATAAAAATATTTATTACATGTCGGTCGTTAGACGCGTCATTTGTTAACAATTGAGGTCAATATTTTTTTCCACCTTTTCTTAGACTATAAATTACCAGAGGGAGACTTTGTACAAAAGTCGATTGCTTGGGTACCTCTGTCCCATTCATGTTTCTACCGTGAAGCAGTTGTGTTTGCATGGCTGTTTCGGTTTGAAGGATGGGATATGGCGTGAACTTATAGGGTACAGAGGAATAACACCTGAGTCCTCAGGAATGGCAACGCATGGGGTGTATCATGGGCGAAACAATATACTATGTTATATCCATGGTACTGCTCATGTCTATAGGCGACGGTTACCATTTTCCATCAGGTGGGCCGTCAGTTTGTTTGCTATTCTAAGTTGTATAAAAAAAAAATACTTGACACTTTCTTGTTGGTATTTTTAAATACATATATTAGTAACTTATCTACTTATACATTGGATGATATAAGATGTCTATGTAGAAGGAAATAATTTTTAAAACACTGTAAATTTATCTTCTTGATATGTTGATAATAAATTAGGATATGTTTTGTAGAATATTTACAAAAACTAATTACATTTATTGATTGTATCTTCAACCTCCGCATACATATCGGTTTTAGTGCAAATGGCTTCTCACTCGTTAACGCAGGAACCTTAGGACTATCTGCACACTTTGTACTCTCCTTCGAAACCCGCAGTCTCCTACTTAAGCAGCAAATTCCAGTACCTTTTTCACACTCCCCATCGTAACCTATGTTCCTGTGATACTCTCCAACTCTCTATCCTCTCTCACCGTACTGATTTCAACAAACACTTTTGTACACTTTGGTACAAATTCTTTTGTCTTATATTCATCACATAATTTTTCACGGCTCTAGAACGCACTTCCTGATATCATCAAAAGACTTTACACTAGATTCTAGATTAATTAAAAAATAATGTTTCTGTTAATTTTTTTTTATGTTTTACCGAGCAATAAGTGTTTTATTATTTTCATCTTCGTATATAATATAGTATATGTAAGTTATATATATCTATTTGTTTATATATATATGAATTTTATTATGGATGTATATCAATTATTACTAGTATTCTTAATTCGAGTATTCTGATACTTTGCTAAGGTTGACTGGGAGAGAATTCTTTAAGCCTTTGGTCCGCCTTGTATACATACATATACTAATGAATAAATATATATAGTAAATATGTACACAAATATACCGATAAGTATCTAACACATTTAGATAAAAATCTTTATGTCAAAATTTATGTATGTAATATATAAATTTTGACATAAAGGTTATATATATACATATATTAGATTGTGACTAACATCTCAGTATACCATTCAGTTATTTTGTTCGATGTTATTTATGATATATTGTGTAGATATATTAAAAAGGTAATTATTACGGTATATTAATCCAATTAAAAGCCAGTAAGATAAAAGATAAAACGAGTATAACATTTATTATTCTATTAGTAACTATACCTATCTACAATGTATTAATTTAGAAGACATAAAAGTTTGATATTTGAAGAGATAAAATTAGTGAGTAGGTACATTTTTCCATAAAATTTAATGTTTATTGAAAAAATCTATTGGTTATAAACAAAAAAATTAGCTTGCAAAACTCAACCGCACTAATTGCACAGTCTAAGCTAAATCGTCTTCCGGTACACATTGTAACAGTTAAGTGAAATGACAGAATTCCAAACATTTTCTTTAGATGTGCGATTACCACATTAACCGCAACGATGTGCCTATTGATAGAATTATTAGGGTTTCACAAAGAGAGTTTCCTCTGTGCAACCGCAAGGACGTCACTTTAGCGTTATTCTACATTCTTGCAGCTTGTATGGAGTTATTAGTGCTAATGACGATGGACAGACGGACAGGTTATTGTGTCTCCGCGCCGCCAGACCACACCGCTTCCTCTTCTCGTGACACGGCCCAAGTCGTAAGCGTTCTCAGTTTTATATAGTACGTAATATAATATATACTTACGAATACAAGAAATTATGAAGTATGTAACAAAAGATTTATTTATTTAATCATCTAAATAATTTAAAATAAAATGCATTTGAAAAAAAATATAATTTAAAAATGGCTAAATAGATTTCGTTATTTCAATAATGCTCGTATGTATGCAATTGTTCATACGTAATTTACACGAAACCTTTCGTAATATAACAGATTTTATGAAAAATATATTATATATGTAAAAGTGTGACGTGTGGTAGAAACATTTAGATTTTTTAATAGTATTAGATATTAATTACATACTTTGGCTTCGCACTTTATTCTTATAAATAAAATACAGCTCATATATGCTCGCTTATAATGTAGATGTAGTATTCTTGTTTTAAATATTTAAGTATTTTTTAAAGTTTGTTTCATTTTGAAACAAATCTTTTCTCTTTACATTATTAGTTTACATTTGTTCAACGTCATAGTTCATTAAAATGGGACCAAATTTATAATAATAGATATGTATTTAGATACTTGTATTTATTAAAACTTTTGTAAGTAATCCTTAATATCGCTATCTCTTGTAATTTGAACTGTATAGTCCATAGCGAATATACAAGTGGTATGCAATTCTATAACTGACCGCGATTCTATTATATTCTTTAGCGAAAAATTAAATAGATGAGATCCTGTTCTTTGTGTGAGCGTGAGAGATTAAATGTTACTCACGAAACGTTGCCTTTATTAAAAAATATGCAACTTTACTTAAATAAAATAGAAAGGTAATTGCTAAACGACTTAAAAATTATACCAAATAAACTTATTTCGTGACAAGCTTAC